ATACACGTAGAAAATATTTTTACGTATAATAGGGAAGACTTGAACTACCGTAAATACAAGCTTAAGAAACTTAAGCATATATTGTTTGAAAAATAACGAACATGTATGTCTGCCAATGTACCTGGTTTAACCAATTGCTGTGATAAATATTGTTTAATTATATGTTAAATACTTGTCTGTTTGTTGATTTGTTGTGTATAGCATGTACTTGAATATTATTGACTCATTTATTGAACTTATGTAACTGAATCTAAGAATATGTTTGATAGCTTCATTGTGTTTTGTAATGATTTTTTAAAATATATTTTTCCCTTAAACTATATTATTTGTACTATATTTTATACATTTAATGGAGACTAGGGGAGAAAAGTGCTAACTGAATACGATTATGTAAACAAATTTCTATAAATCAAATCTTATATGCAATAAAATTCATACATTTTTTAATCGATGGTTTATCCAACTGCTGAGTTGCAAATTAAATAAAAAGTAAAAAAAAAAAAAAAACAATACATAAAGAGGCAAAACTAAAAAGAAAAGGTGCGATGGCTTAGCGATATGCTGAGTTTATTGCAAATTAAACAAAAAGTAAAAAAAAGAAAAAAGAAAACTGTATAAAGTGGCAAAACTAAAAAGAGGTGCGATGGCTTAGCGATCTGCTGAGTTCGTTACAAATTAAACAAAAAGTAAAAAAAAAGAAAAAAGAAAACTGTATAAAGTGGCAAAGCTAAAAAGAAAAGGTGCGATGGCTTAGCGATGTGCTGAGTTTATTGCAAATTAAACAAAAAGTAAAAAAAAAAAAAAAACTGTATAAAGTGGCAAAACTAAAAAGAAAAGAAGAAAAGAAGAAAAGGTGCGATGGCTTAGCGATGTGCTGAGTTTATTGCAAATTAAACAAAAAGTAAAAAAAAAAAAAAAAAACTGTATAAAGTGGCAAAACTAAAAAGAAAAGAAGAAAAGGTGCGATGCTTAGCGATGTGCTGTTTATTGCAAATTAAACAAAAAGTAAAAAAAAAAAAAAAAAAAACTGTATAAAGTGGCAAAACTAAAAAGAAAAGAAGATAAGGTGCGATGCTTAGCGATCTGCTGAGTTGTTACAAATTAAACAAAAAGTAAAAAAAAAAAAAAAAAAAAGATGAGGGTAGAAAAGTGCTAACTGAATACGATTATGTAAACAAATTTCTATAAATCCAATCTTATATGCAATAAAATTCATGTATTTTTTAAGCGATGGTTTAGCCAACTGCTGAGTTTGTTGCAAATTAAAGAAAAAGTAGAAAAAAATTATAAAGTGGTAAAACTAAAAAGAAAAAGGTGCTCATGATTAGAGAATATTAACATATTGATTGATTTAAAAAAAATTATACATAAACAGCAAAACAGGGATTATTTACAACAGAGATAATGCAAGGACGCTTACATATCTGATAACAACCCAAATCTTACTAGTAGAGTAGGGCTATAATTAAGGGACGAACATCAGTCTGTCCAGTTAGAAATGGAAGAATATCTTCCCTCAGCAGGTGTTTCTTGCTTCTTAAATGAGCATAAAAGGCTGGTACTTCCCGAGTTGTGGGTCTACACCAAAGAAATTATAAGAATCCTCTATTACATTTAAATTACAAGCAAGCTCATTTCAACATTAGTTCTTTTCTAGCCATGGCTTGTAATTCAGCTAGAGTAATTCGCCCCGGCGTTAGAAACCATCTAACCAAATTCAGGTTTTTCTTATACCATTGGTTTGTGATGAACTTTATAACTTGTCATAATTATTTTATGCAATGAAAACCGATCAGAAGTTGTTGCACGCTATACACTCTTCATGATAAACGGTACTTATTTTCAGGTTGGGGCAGTGATAATTAATTGAGTATCCCCATAAAGACATATGTTATGAAATACTTGAAAAATTACAAGAACTATACAACCACTATAGATGCTTTTAAATTCCACTGATGGTCATGAACCAAGCAAATGTGTAATTTCTGTTTCTTATTGTACATTGTATAAAAAATCAATGAAGACATCTATCTACACGTTTAGAAATGTCATTAAAATGACGAATTGTGGGTTAATCAAAATGACCGAGAACGTTCGAAAGGAAAGGATCTTATGAACCCGATTGAGGATCGGTCATACCCTTCTGACACACGGACAAGATGACCGCGCAGGTGTCTCGTTTGGAAAGATTGCTCAGTGTGTCACAAATGATCGAAGATTGCCATGCTTGACCCCTACAGGGAGCGAGTAGGCAGGCATGAGACATGACGTAAAGATGGTCCTCGGGCAGGAGGGGTCGAGTGTTCGGTCCCTTCTATCCTTACATACTATTGCATATACTGTGTAGGTGTACATATGTGTTACGTGCGTACTTATGTTTCTTAGGCCAGGGTATTCCCGGTATAAATATGATTAAAGCTCATAAATTTTGAAAAATAAAACATCAATAATTGTCAATTGGGATAAAAATCTTCAATTCAATATAGTATTCGTTGTCTAGGTAAAATAAGAAAACAAAAGGTTTTTAACACTTTTGTGTTCTTTAGAGAAACAAAATATCGATCAAAGTGAAAACAATTGACCTACATAAAGGTTTCACACAAAATTATCCTTTTTCCAAAATATTCGCACTCTCGGCACTATCGAATTTTCACAATAAATTTTTCCTTAGGAAACTTTTGTCAGGTCCGGCCATTGACTAAACTTCTACCAGAAGGATTTCGAAGGTTTGCCGTTTTGCAAGGTGGACAGGGGTTTATTTTTAAAAATTGAAAACAAAAGGAATTTTCCCGCAGTTTAATTGCAAATTGTAAATAACGACGTCGTCTGTAAACACAAACAATTAGTAGAGCCGGCCTAATTCCTTTTTGATATTTTCGAATTCATAAACAATAGAACAACATTGCCATAAAACATTACAAAAACAACAAACGATAAAACTATTGTTAAAACAATCTTAAAACGATAATTAATGCGTCAATACGCGTAATTAATAACTCAAGGGAGAAGATTCTAAATATCGCTTTAGACATTTTTATTTTGAGAATGATTAGCAATTGATAAATATGTATTCAAATTGTTCAGCATTGATTGATATTAACAAATAAACATACAATTGATTTATCAAATTTTATGCAAATGTGTGTAAAATTTAAATGCTAAACAAAAATAAAACAATGATATTAAATTGTTCATCTTTGCCTTCTGCTTGTCCACAAGTATTTTCTAATATTCTCCGTCTTTTATTTTATCACCTATCATATATATTTGGTGAAAATAATTTTTGACTACTGATATTGAGGGTGGTTTTGTTAATAAAATAACAACAAAACCGAGTGTATGACGTGGTGATTTTTGCAATAAAGTAAATAAGAAATAAACTATTTGATAAGGGTAGATAATTTATTTTTAATTAAGTAACATTCAAATAAAATGAATTCAGAATTTACTTACTTAAATATGGCATTTACTTTACAAAAAATCTATGAAATGTACCGTATGGACAAGGGTTACTGAGAAAATTATTACAAAATATACTATATAACATCAGAAAGGGTTTTTATATAGGAATATAAGAAGGATAATTTATATAAGAAATACAAAAATGGATTGTATGGTGCAGGGAAATGGATTCAAAAATAAAATTAGTACAAAATAATAGAACCTTTTGGCAAGTAGAAACTTTTACTAAAAAAATAACTACATAATTGAATATGAGATATGAGGGATGATTTTTCTATAAATAGTAACTATGACACGAATTTTAAGGTGTGGAACGATCGAGTTAAAAATAAAAGGACTATAAAATGAACTATAGTGCATGGAAAGGTGAAAATAACAATAAAAGAACTGAGATGGCTTTAAAAGTAAAATGTCTAAAATGTACTCTGTGGAATGTAGTGATGGCTTCATTAAAAAGGAAATAACTTATAAAAGGACTCATGGAATGGGGGACGATTTTTGATGTAAAATGGATTATTTTTGTATTTAGGGATGGAAATAAAAATAAAAGACTCTCTGAATTGAGATAACTTTAAAAAGAAAATTTAAAAAAAAATGGACTTTGTGGAATGCAGTGATGACTTCATTAAAAAGGCAATAACTCATAAAAGAAATGCATGGAATGGGGGGAGATTTTTGATGTAAAATGGTTTATTTTTGTATTTAGGGATGGAAATAAAAATAAAAGACTCTCTGAATTGAGATGACTTTAAAAAGAAAATTAAAAAAAAATGAACTTTGTGGCATGGAGTGATGGCTTCACTAAAAACGAAATAACTACAAAATGGACTCTTTTACACCGAGAGATGGAGATAAAAATATAAAAAACCACACTAAATTGAGATGACTTTAAAAATGAAATTTCTACGAAATGGATTTTGTGAAATGGAATGATGGCTCCGCTAAATGGATATCAAGGAGTGGGGAATTATTTTCGATGAATAAAATAAATTCAAAATGGATTATATGGCATGTACAGATGGCTTGAAAAATAAAAGAACTACGAAATAGATTTTATGGTACGGGCATGGTTTGGGACGGTTAGGAGCTTTACTCAAAAAATAATTAAAAAATGGGTTATAATTCATGAGTAATGATTATTTCACATGGAGAGATGGAAATAAAATTAAACTTAGATGGCTTTAAAAATAAAATTAGTACAAAATGAACTTAATGGCATGCACTGATGGCTTCACAAACATAAATGGGCGACATGAGGAATGATTTTTATTCATAAAATACTACCAAATAGATAGTTTTTCAACAGAAATTTATGTGAAATGTATGATCTAATGGTGGTAATTGGATGAAGCAAGCAATTATCAAACTTTCTGAAAATAAGGAGTATAGCATACCATCACGATTGAACCAACTCAAAAAATAGAAGAATAAAACATTTTTTCGTCCTAAGTGAACACACGATTCCTCATTTTTCACATCATTCTTTTTACTTTGAGTTTAGCCAGGATTTGTCAAATTCGGTCCACCCCCGTTTTGCGTAGTGGCCGGGGTTGTCAGGGGGGTTGACGTCAAACATTTCAAGGTGTCACTCGCCCCACGACACGGCATCGCAAGTCGACCGGGTATAAAGCAGGAATCATCCCTCCTCTCGGCAATCTCCGAAATGTTACCGACGGGGGTCCTGCTCTTCTTCGTCGTCTCCTGCACCGCCACTGTCAGGCTGCGTGAGTACAAAACCGATACAGACCGGCAATTTAAGAAAAAAGCCTTATTTTGTTGCTGATCTTACGATCAACAGGTGTAAACCACAAGTGTAGCTTTTACTTTAAAAAAATGACTTTAAATTATTAGAAATTTGAAAAATTACCATAGCAGCCATTTATTAATCAACCGTAAACAAATTTAACATGTTTAAGTTAGATTTAAAAAATTAACTTAATTGTTTAAATATGATAACTTATGTTTAGTCCTTATTTTACACACAACGTACTTACTTTTTGAAATAATAATTAATAATTAAAATTCTTTATGCATTTTAAATGGTTTTGAAGATATAAACCTTACGTAAAAAAGTCAGATTGAAAGTTAATAAATTCTAAAGTTATACGTATTCAGCCACTATTCCACTATTTTTTATATTTTGATTAATATTTTTTTGAAATTTATTTTTATTACTACCTGCATTAATAAAATATAAATCTTGTAATTCGAGGTTATTTACATATTTAAATTTATACACTGATTAATAATTAAAATATATTGTAGACTGACAAGATTAATACCTTTGGTATTATTCTTTCAACCCTTACCAAACTATGTTGTAATTATTAATTAATAATTAATCGAGACTTAATAGAGTGAAGTTTGTTCTTCGAAATCGTGTCTAACTGTCCAATAGGCCATATTACTTTTGAGCCTCAATTGCTGTATTTTTTACTTTGGTCTTATACAACCTTTACCTTTACTGGAAAATCAAAAATGAGTTGTCATTACCTTATATTTAACACTATTTAAAAGAATTTATTTCGCTGAGTTTAATCCTCTTCAACATCGCGGAAATATTTTGTAAAACGTATTCAGACTTATTTGCGTAAGTACGTGACTTCTTCGCCGCGAGGCCTTGGCACTGTGGGACATGACACAGGTGACAAAATAGCATTTTGCCAAAGAAGCAAATGAAGGAAGGCGTAAGACGAAGGTCTACTAACTGTCACAATATTCAAGTCAAAGTCTTATACTATTTTAACATGTCTCTAAATGGCTCCAATGTCTTTTTTAATATTTAATATAGATATAATATATATGCACTTTTTTTACAGCTTCGTACATGCGGGCGTGCTCAAGGAACGATCCGAACCTGAACGAATGCGCCCTGAAGAATGGGAGGGCGATTATTCCAAAACTTATACCAGGTAAAATAATCATGTTTAAATTCAAAAAGATTTTTTTAACACACTTTTAAATATTTTATTGGTCTGCGGGGTGATGAACCCTTCAACACTTCGTTTCCGGTCATTTTGGCCTGCCTACTCTGTTGCTTTGTACTTTTTTTTTAGTTTTGCTTTTCTGATACTTTCTTAACTTTACATTTCTTTTCTTATCTTTCCCGCGTTATAAACCTCTTAATGCCTTGTACTGTTTCTTCAGCCGAGTTATGATGTTTTATGGTATAACGGTAACCAACTCTTTCTTTTCTTTATCCTATTGCTAGCCTCAGTGTAATATGTGTGAAAGCTCAGTGTGAAATAACACTAAATAAACATAAATACACAGAAACGCAGAAACAAGATAAAAACATGATCGTCTGGTTAGAATTCTCACTATTCCAGAGTATTCAATATTCCTTCTGGATAAGTGAAGAAAAGTCCCTTCATTCATACTAATAAATTACAGACCCATTCTCACTACCCCAGAGTACTCGTTATTTCTAGACGTACTTGTGGAGAAAAGCCCGTTCATTCACACTAATAAATTACGTTCACACACTCATTATCCCAATGTATTTAATAACCCTTTGGGGTGATTGTGGAAAAAATTGGGAATAAATCCCTTCATTCGCATTAATAAATTACATTCACAACCACATTCTCACTATCCCGAAGTATTCGATAATCCTTCTGGGCAATTAGAGAAAAGTCCTTTCATTCACACTAATAAATTACATTCACACACTCATTCTCACTATCCCAGAGTACTTGTTATTCCTAGAGGAAATTGGGAATAAATCCCTTCATTCAGTCTAATAAATTACATTCACAACCACATTCTCACTATCCCAAAGTATTCGATAATCCTTCTGGGTAATTGTAGATAAAAGCCCGTTCATTCACACTAATAAATTACATTCACGGATCCATTCTCCCTATCCCAGAGTATTCGATATTCCTTCTGGGCAATTGGAGAAAAGTCCCTTCATTCCTTCTAATAAATTACATTCACACACCCATTCTCACTATCCCAAAGTATTCCAAAATCCTTCTGGGTAATTGTGGAGAAAAGCCCGTTCATTCACACTCATTCTCATTATCCCAAAGTATTTAATAACCCTTCTGGGTAATTGTGGAGAAAAGCCCGTTCATTCACACTAATAAATTACATTCACACATCCATTTTCCCAATCCCAGAGTATTCGATATTCCTTCTGGGCAATTGGAGAAAAGTCCCTTCATTCGCACTAATAAATTACATTCACTCACCCATTCTCACTATCCCAAAGTATTTGATAATCTTTCGGGGTAATTGTGGAGAAAATCCCGTTCATTCACACTAATAAATTACATTCACACACCCATTCTCACTATCCCAAAGTATTCCATAATCCTTCTGGGTAATTGTGGAGAAAAGCCCGTTCATTCACACTCATTCTCATTATCCCAAAATATTTAATAACCCTTTGGGCTGATTGTGGAGAAAAGCCCCTTTCATTCATACTCATTCTCATTATCCCAAAGTATTTAATAACCATTCGGGGTAATTGTGGAGAAAAGCCAGTTCATTCACACTAATAAATTACACTCACACACTCATTCTCACTATCCCAGAGTACTCGATATTCCTTGAGGAAATTGGGAATAAACCCTTCATTCGCACTAATAAATTACATAAACATTTGTAATGAAAATTATCATACTAATACTATTTGGATCACTAAGTAGTGTGAAATCAACATTTTTGTCTGTAAAATTCATCTTTATTCAACTTCAACCCTTATAGGCTTAACCAATATACAGTACATTTTTATGGCAGCTTTTGGTCCTCTTTCTTTCGGTCTCTTTCTCTTTCTATCCCTCTATGTTTGTCTTTTTATCTCTCATATTATATTTTAGTACGGTTTTACAAGATTTTTTTTCAAAACATGTATAATAAATAGGCTAGTTAGAATTACTGTTGGTTCTTTTTCCCCTCGTTTCGAACACATTTTAGGACATAAGTTGGCACGAAAGGATCTGATTTATTTTCAAAAATGCTGACTTTAACTGATAGAAGTTGTATTTTATTAAACTGAACTTTCCTTTATTAGGAATCGGTCCAAGCCTCTCAGATTTATCGATAAAACTGCTGTTCAGGTGTGGTCGAAGGTTACATTTTTCAATTTAAACATTTTATTTCTAACAATGTCTCTATTCATCATTTTAGTTATGATTTATTTGATTTAATTGAAACAGTATTTCAATCCCGATAAGTATTCTTTTCCAATGAATAGTTTGTTCAGCGAAGTACCTTATCAGAAAAGGTCCTTATGCAAATCACTATCACGTATTGTTAACGTAATAAGTATTAAAAATAAACTCTTTCCTTAACGGGCAAACAATTCGGCGAAAGTGCTCTCAAATATACAAAATTAACAAGTTGATTTGTAATACGTAAACAACGTTTTGGGAATCAAGTCAAGACTGCAAAGAAAAAATTCCTCCATCAATAGTTTGGAATTGACAACAAATTATTTTGTTCGTTATAGCCGAAGTAATAAGTGAATAACAGATTTGACATAACAACGAAGCGAAATTGGTGAAATAGACTAAATTAAAGAGAAAATATAAAAGCTTAACAATATTTATATTACAAATATTAACGCTGTTAATATTTTTTTAATTAGGAGAAAAGAGAAACTGCTTAATTAAAAATTTAACTATTCGAAATTCACTGGTTTGAGGTATTCATTGTGAATTGGACCGCAGTCGACTAGTGGTACGAGGTCCGACTCGTAAAGCCACACGAAACTTACTTATACTTTACTACTTACTTACCTTGAACTTTTTTTTCTTACTGGTGGTTATCTGAAAAATTAATATCCCATTTTTCACCCAGCACATATGTAATTTACATTTCCTCACAATTTATGCTTTTGGGTTGTTAATGATATTAATCATCTTCCCAGAAATTAATCATTAACTTTTGTTTGGTAAATTACATGGCATTTGGTAAAATAATACTTTCTTAAAAAACTTCAAATTTGCATTTGTTTCAATGCAAATCTTACTGATCATTCAAACTAAATAATCTTTTCAGGAGATCCTAGCATCCGGCTACCCCCTCTGGACCCTCTGGTCTTGGACAAAGTCGAAATAAGCCCCACGGGTGCTTCGGGCTCGGTCACGATGAGGCTGAGATGCTACAGATGCCACGTCTACGGATTGAAGAACGCCCGTCTCCAAGATGTCAAGTAAGTCATACTTTGATAATAACTATCTCGAAAACATTACCAAAATTTCTTTTCAGGCTCAATCTGAACAAAAGGCAAATTAACATCAAACTCAACATACCCAGGCTGGTGGTGACCGGGAAGTACGACGTGTCCGGCCGCATCCTCGTATTGCCGATAAGCGGAAGAGGAATTTCAAACATTACGTTGAGTAAGTTAAAAAATGTTTTATAATTAATTATAGTATATACTCTAAAACTAGATTATTCGAGCACAGTAAAGCGTTGTGCAAGCATGCTACCTTCCGTGAAATATTCCAACGGGATTATGAAATGGTTTGTTTTTCACTTGGTCGCTGAATTAACCATCTATGCGGACAATTTTGTTCTAAATAAGTTTTACAAAACTAAGTTGTTTTTCAGCGAATGTCAACGTAGTCGCCGGCCTGGACTGGAAATCGCTGAAGAGAAAGGGAGAAGAATACAGCCAGTTCGTGAAGCACAGAGTGACGTTCACGGCCTCTTTGTTGAGAATCAATCTGTCGAATCTTTTCGGCGACCGTCTCTTGAGTGAGTCATCTATCTCAACATGATTCTCAAAAATTTCAAATAATTTTTATTTTTTTTAACGTTACAGGTGACAATATGAATTTAATTTTAAACGAAAATTGGAGAGAAGTCCTGCGAGACCTGGCCCCTTCTATTTCGGACACTGTCGGCCATATAATAAGGGTGACGCTCAACCAGATTTTCGACTTGATTCCCTATTCTCAGTTTTTCCCAGACACATAAGCTCGGATGTGTACAAAAGAACAGTTGTAAATATTCTATATAACAAATGTATAAAGTGTACAAAATTATTTTTTAAATATAAATTGTCAGTTCATTTTTAATTTTATTAAGGCAGTGTTTTATTTTACTTTCTTTAAAGAGTAAAGGAAATTTGAAGCAGCTGTGGAAAGTGATATTTGTGACGTAGTAAAGAATTAATCTTTATGTAAGGTTTTGATTGAGATAAAAAAGTCAGTGTCACGAGCGGGATTCGAACCCATGATTTTCGGCTAAATACGCCGCTACTCTACCACTTGAGCTATCGTGACTTCGATCCACTCGGGCAACAACTTCCCATCTCAACCCATCTTTCGAATTTTCTCTCCTTTTCGCAATTTTCCAAATGTCGTGTAATCAGGATTCAATTCTCGGGCCTCGGCGAAATATGAAGTGGCCACGGGGAGATGTTAGTGAAGTTATACTTCGTTTTACTTAGTACATCCAGTATATTTAGTGGAAATTCAAAAGGTGGGTTGAGTTGGGAAGTTGGTGTCCGAGTGGATCGAAGTCACGATAGCTCAAGTGGTAGAGCAGAGGCGTATTTAGCCGAAGGTCGTGGGTTCGAATCCCGCTCGTGACAATAACTTTTTTACCTCAACCAATACCTTACATAAAGATTAATTAATTGAAAGAGGTTATTTGGTCAATCGGACCTCGAAATCTAATGGTTGTAGTAAAGAATTGTGAGGATTTCCCTGAAGACTTAGGATGTGAAGAATTCCTCTGTATATTGGAAGACTTGGCGGAACCACACAGTTTCGCTACGTATGTCGAAAGTGGTCGAAGTAAAGTCTTGTATTAAGTGGGGATTTTACGATAAAAAGTGATTCCGGTCATAGAAGTCTTCCTAGTTGCTTAAGTGTTCTGTCAAATTACCTCCTAAGTATTGTGCGGTGATTACATGTCATTCTGGTGTCTATGTATATTCTTAAGTATCTTACTCGAGTTTATGTTAATAGCTTTTTGTTTAAATACAAAAGAGTTATATTTTAATATAATTATACGCCGTTTCCCTCATTAATTCAATTTTGTTCAATAATCTTTGATAAGCTCAAGGTGTACGTGGATGTGAGTAAGCATTCGAGTAAGAAGAATTGCCAATGACAAAATGACAAGGTTTTTAGCAGTATAAATCGTATATAGGATGGGACCAAGAATGCGTCCTTGCAGGACGCTGGATCGTATTGGTCTAATCTCCATGTTCGTTGCCCTCACTTTGTACCAGCGGTCAATCAAATACGATATGTTATGATATTTCCACCTGTGGTCTGACAAACCTACTGTTTGATAGTTACTGAACATCCTAGGATGAGTTTTGTATATCACTCATTGATGACGACGAAATGCCGAAACGCGTCTGAATCAACGAAAATCATCGCGGATAGGCAGACCAGAATGACAGTTAAGTATCAAACAATAAAATGCATATGACCCTTTCTGAATCGTGGACGTCATGGAGTAACCATCCAAACATTCTTTGTTCTCTAGCGAAGAGGAAATGGTGTCAACGATTCTGTACCTTGCCCAAACGCGTCTGAGAACGAAAATCATCGAGGATAAACAGACCAGGATGATAGTTAATTATAAAACAATAAAATGCATATGACCCTATCTGAATCCTGGACGTCATGGAGTAACCACCCAAACATTCTTTGTTCACTAGCGAAAAGGAAATGGTGTCAACGATTCTGTACCTCGCCAAAATGTGGAATGATCTTGGATGCCGATTTTATGCGACGAAAAATCAACAGAATTTTCAACTACTTTGAATAAAACAATATATCAAGTGAAATCTGAATTTGTGAATCCATACCTACCCGTTTCTTCACATATGTTTTGAACTGATGTTTTGTGGAAAATCCACATGCACTTGGATAGATATCTGAATATCGTTTGTGATGCTTCACTCACAAAAGACGATTACTGACCCAATTTTAGACAATTGGACATAAAGCTCCCAACGGTAATTCATTTGGATTGAAATAATTTGTATTGGTAAGTTTACCATTGGTTTAGTCTAAATTGGAAAAGAGCGCTAAATCCGCCGACCCTGACAACCTTGGCGTCAGGATAACAATCGCAATTGATGGAGAAAGCATTTCTGTATTTCCTCGCCTCACAGAACCTGTGGATAATTCGGACGAGGACTGGCGTACATTTTACTAATCTCGTATATTTTATCACTGGCCGTGTAGGATTTTATAAGTTTTGTTAAAAAAAAAGGAAATAGCGTGTTTCTCAACAATTGTTACGTCCAATTTATCGCGTCAGTGGGATCGGCAATTATTATGAAAATGTTGCAATATGTTATTAAAGCTTCTGGCCATCCTCGAAATAAAAGTGGAGTCTTTAATGCCATCGGGTGTTTTTCACTCTGTCCGTTATTCCAATAGACAAATTTGTAGATAATGAAATTAATTAAATAAGACCTAAATTCCAGTTTAAATGGAAGATAAATATAGATCGCTAAGTAGATACGTAGAGCTAGATAATAGATACAGATAGAGATAGATAGATAGAGAGAGAGAGAAAGAAAGAGACAGAGAAAGAAATATAGATACATAAGATAGAGGAAGAGAGAAAAAATGAATAAACGAATATTGCTTTATTTAAAAATCTCGCAAATTTAGGTCACGAACGACCTCTCTTACAATTAAGGAGACAACTGAGAGAAAGTGTTAGATAGAGAAAGATGACATTTATATTATAAAGATCGGATACAGTAATAACAATTGAAAAATGGAACAACTTAACATTCCGTCATGAGACTTGTCCTAGAATATCTTACATACTTAGATGTTGGAAAGGTCTTTTCGTAGGCGAGTAGTATAGAAACACAAAAATAAAGAAAACAGATGCTTAACAAAAGGCTTAAATTGTTTGCCTACCTACTGAACCAATGATCAAATTGACCATTAAAATCGAAATTTTTGGCATAAACATATTTACACAAACCTATTTGTAATATTGTCAAGATTACGGATTGGTCAAATATTACAATATTTTTTTATTACCTTAAAATTTGTTTATTGGTCATAGGTTTNGTAATTTTGTTACTTTTTTTCTGCCCCTTTCTATGTAAGCAATAACACTTAGAGATCTCTTATCAATTGTTTTCTTCTGTCAAAACCTATTACAAACATTTACATTTTCGTGGCCAATTGACCGTTACTTTTTTCAATCAATTAATTATTCTTTCTATGTAAGGTCTTGGTTGAGATAAGAGGATCGAAGTCACGATAGCTCAAGTGGTCGTATTTAGCCGAAGGTCATGAGTTCGAATCCCGCTAGTGACACTGAGTTTTTTATCTCAACCAAGACCTATTACAGACGTTTGCACAGTAAGTTGCAGGATCACATTAATTATTCCACGCTCCAAAATTGACCGGGAGGAGAAAGAAAAAACATGGAACCTAGACCTCTTAAGGCTGATCGGGTGCCAATTAATTCTTCTATAACGCCAATTAATTCCACATTCAAAAATAGAAATCCCTTCTGCAGTTTGTAATAATTATAAATTTGTAGATAAATAAATGGCAGAAAAATGTTTTTTTAGTGAATTACCATGGTAACGATCCAAAACAACAAGGTTCCCTCGAATGTGAATAAGTTGGAATATTTTTTAAATGACCATGGACCCGTAGATTGTAAATATAATCAAGCGTATCGGATGGAGGTACTAATTTGTGTATTAAGTTCATGCCAAGAAAAAAAAATATAAACACTTGTGTGTGTTTTCGATATTTCAATATCTTCTTTACTGAAGAGCGTAGCTTGAAAAATAACATCAAACCTGAAATTATCGTTGGAAAAAAACATAGCATGTTGTTGCATTCGAAAACTGTTTTGAAAGTGATAGTAAAAGAACCAATATATTTAAAAAAATCACCAATCAGTTTTGGTATTTTTTTTAATAAGTTTATTCAATATGCTTTATTTAAAATATTACATGTTATCTATACATATACTTTTTTATATAAATATTATTTAAATAAACATATAGTTATATCTGAGTTGGACCAGACTTGCGTCTTTCTCTTCTACGTCGAAAAATTTGAAGATTGAATCGATTAGCATTTTAAACTCTTTCATCCACTCTGACATCAGAGCTTGCTCTTGAGAGAAAGCCCTTTTATTTTTGAAAGTGCACTCCTAGCAAGCATTATCTGTTGACCGTCATGCAATAAATGATAGTCTGTGGTGATGTTGTAGAACGTTTACACTGGGGAATTGTATGCGATTTTGGCACGGTTGAGGTGATTGGAGAAGATGGTGGCTCTGCTTACCAAGTCTACACCGACTCAATTGCTGTTGTCCATGAAAGTCTGTTTCCGCAAGACGGTGGTTGCTGTCTGGGTAAGAGGAGGGTAACGAAAAGGCGTACTAGGCGGTTACGGCCGGGACGTCCCAACCTCCGAATTTAACTAATGTAATTCGTTACCCTGACCCCAAAAATATAATAAAAAACATTATTAAAAAATGGCAGAGTTGTTGGGCCTGATCGACAAAGAAGCTCTCGCGTATCAACAACACTGTCGATAGGTGGCCATCAAAGGAGCTGGTTCTTAGAAGAAGGGTCATCAAGGATGGACTATGCAAGGTTGACACGGACACTTACTTTGAGGCCAAAGCCCGTGTATGTGACCGGCATATAGAGAAAGGTTTTGATGTCTCACCTAATTGAAGGGTGCAATTCCTTGGCTCTATATAAAGGGCGCGTAGGAATACCATCCGTCATGCGAATCGTGCCTGAGAACGGCAACGAGTATTGGGTCCCCTGTTCCAATTCTTGGAAGAAGCAGGGTCGTTTTACTCTACACTGTTTTGTGTCTTTAGCATGTGTTGAGAGTGAATGTCTTTATTAGCGTGTGAAGTACCTACTCTGTCGATCTTTAATTAGATTAGTTATATAATATGTGTGCAGGGTAGAATATCAAGCACTCCACCAACCTAACTGAGTGAATGGTATGTAAATAAGAAAGAATGTATTTAAGGGTGAGTGAGAATGTGAATGGGTTTGGTTTTAGGGAAGACGTTGACGTTGGTGGCTGAAATGACATAGCTGTTGATAGTCCCTGGAGTCCAACCTCGGTGGCTGGACTTAAATTACAAAAGCTGAAATTGCCGGTGGATTGAATGAGTCAACGAGGTCACCGGCAAGTGGATATCCCAGAGGCAGTTTCCCAGAGGATGGTCTCTCGGGCTTTAGACCGATTCCGAAAGACTGGAAGTGCCAATAGGAGGCCTGGTAGTGGATCTCAGCCCATTCGACGCTAAGGAAGGACAGAAATACTGTCATTGCTGCAAGATGGAACCCTTTCCATAGTGCCCGACAAATCCTATCTGAAGTACAAGATGGTTTGGCAAAGGCTTTGTCAACACAAACGATTCGTAATCGTTGGTCTCACATCGTAGCCCTTTGAGCAAACCTGCAGCAACATCATGCCACCAGGAACTGAGGATAATATGGTGCAGCGAGCGCCTAGAAGAGAACAACAATTGGAATTCTTGTTGTGTTTACTCGCGTTTCTATCCGTGAGTTTCACTTTCTTCTGCTATCACTATACCGATTAGACTTCCAGCAATGATGATATTTCTTTCCTCCCTTAGCGTTGTAATCCACTACCAGGCCTCCTATTGGCACTGCCAGTCTCTCAGAATCGGTCTAAAGCCTGAAAGACCATGCTCTGAGACGCGCTGGCCCTGCGACATCCACTTGCCGGTGACCTCGATGACTCATTCTCACAATAATATTGCGAACTGCTGGTTCAAGATGATGTCTATCGATGGTTAAAGAGATTCCAATTGGTTTAAAATGGAGAAAACGAAGCGAGAATAGGTGTTTGTATACAAAATGAGTAATCTTCATGTTTACTATTCTTAAGTAAATCTGTTATTAAATCCCAGGCCCTGAAGATGATCTAAATAAAGATCGAAACGTTGGCACGATAAAGAAAATGTTTTTCTAAAACCAACGTCACACCAGACCGTATCTAACGACTCCTAATCATTAACAATTTTTTTATTTGCTTTTGGTTTCTATTTTCTATTTTGTTTTATCCAACAAACAAGAATATAACGGGTAACTTATTTAAAATTAATATAATAAGAATAAATTATCCTCATGCATTTTTGCGCAGTTTATATTAATGCAGCTGGGCTAATGGAATATTTGCGAAGGTGACAATTATAATTGCAAATTATCGATTTTTAAAAAGATAACATATAGAAAAGCTTAAATGGCAATTATTACTGAGAGAAAAAAAAATCTCGGTTGCGTTGTAAATAAAATATTTAAACTACAGGATATAATTATTTAATACGTTTTTTGTTTATCTGGCGTCACACAGTTGACAAATAAAAAAGTGATTAGGATTTAAATTTAAAAACAAAAATTTAGAAAAAATGATTGAGGTAATTTTTATAAAAGTGATTGCCTTAATTAAAGTTGTATGTTATAAGATTCATTTCTTATACCACGGCGAAATTTCTGTAAGTTTTTATTTTAAATAAAAATTATTTTATTTAATTGGTTAAGTTTAATCTTTGAAATAAAAGATTTGTTCAACTGCGTTGTTAATGTTAAAAATTTTCGTCTAATCTTCTCCGATTCCTCTCATGATTCAAACAACCTTGAAACAAAATAACCCTATTAAAATTAACGTATAGCAATAAAAAAAAATATATTTTTGTAAATAAATAATATACTTGCAGAAAAGCCGGTCAAGTCGGTTTCTTGAGTCAAGGACGATTACTTCTATATAAGAAGTTCGGTACCCCTTCTGTCAATCAGTCGTTATGTCCTCACGGGTTTGTTTGGTCTGCCTTTTGGTTTTCTTTGTTAGTGTTTGTGACGCGGCGAAAGGACCACAGGTTTTTCCTCTCCGTGAGTAAAATTGTCTATTTCCCACTGTGCTCGACAAATGGACTGAAACACATCAAAACGCGTGCTTATATCAACTATATAATAACAATTTAGGAAAAAGAAAATACTAGGAATTTTATACTTTAATAAAAAAATTTTGTTTTCTATGTAACAACATACTGCCATAGTTCAAAAAAACATAAGTTTCAACTATAACAGTTGTACAATCTCCGGGAATATTTATTTCTCTCTTTTAATAAAACAATTAATTAAAATAATAAATTATTGATAAAGTATAATACAACAAACTGTGAAGAATCAGGTTTTTGTGCGTACGAAATTTCAATAAAAATTAAACAGATAATTTTTTAATTTCAATTATTTTCATCTACAATTTGATAAGTATTATATACAACCATAATATTAGATTTATTGGCGTTATAGAGAAAGCTACCCATTGGAAACAGCTTTGGATTAAAATACAATATTAATAATTGAATATCCATATTCCTTTCAGTCGCCTGGTTTCGAAGTAATCGTGTAAATATTTACAGTGAAAAAAATTGTGAAAAGATCTCTATGAAGTGTGTTATTGTTTACGTAAAAAGGGCAGAAGCAATTAGCCTTAAAATTTTGGGTTGAACACATTGTAGTCTTTGAAGATTGGAATATTTGGCCGTTTCATAAGCTTGGCACCCTTACCAAAAAGGTTTGAGCAGGTATGTGCATGTCAAAAGTTTTGATTTTATTGGTCATTTTGAAAGTAGGGTCAGTAGGTAGTAAAGAATTTGAAATAAGTCCTAAATAGGTAACTTTGTCGGATAGAGGAATAGGTTCATTGTATAAGTGTATGCTAGGTCCCACAGCGAAAGGTAAAGGTTGTGACTTTGAGAGGTTAAACTATATTTTCCAAAAATTGCTCCATTTTTCAATTGTTGATATGGTTTTGTAAAATAAATGAAGCTTGTTTAAAAGAGGGATGACTTGTTAATATGGAGGTGTTATCTGCGAATGTTGCGTTAAGTGCTTTCTCATTTGTGGGAATATCAGAAGTATAAATTGTGTACAACAGCGGAGCGAGTATTGACCCCTGTGACACACCTGGAACTACTTATTTCATCTCAGAAGTCTCCGATTCCCGGTTTACCGTGAAAAATCTCTCCTTAAGGCATGATTGTATAATTAGATAATAGGTCTGGGATAAGAATAGTTGTAATTTGTATAATAGTACCTCATGCAATACTTGGAGAAGGCGTGAGAAACAGCTAGAAACACTCCAGTCGCGTAAAGTTTCTGCTCGACGCATAAGCCATAAAGTATAAATTCTCATGACGTTTTTATATTACTCACCCTCGAAAAACCACATTAAGAAAAAGATTTTTATTGGTTGGTATAATAAATAAATCTTAAATTTTATGTGTGACAAAAAAAAGGTCGGTTAGGTGCTTTCAAACTTCCAAAGAAAAAAATTAAATTACAATAAATTATGATAAAGAACTTTTTTCTTCTTTCACTTTGAATAACAATTACTAGTTTTTTTTAATAGTTTGATGCAATAAATCAATCAATCAGTGGTGTATTATGTCATGTACAAGGAAAATATTGTTTTGCATATAAATTATAGATAATTATAGATAAATAAATAGATTTAATTAAAACCCATAAATCTTATGGCATTTAATCGCCTATCCTCTAATTGTAATTATACAATTAATAAAAAAATAATTTATTAATATCGTTTGATACAATAAATAAATCTTGTATTTTGTGTGCAATGGAAATTGCAGTGTAATTATATTAATTGGTCAAGCGGACGACGAAAAATAGTGAATGCAATGGAAAAATTTTTGGTGCGTAGAAATTTTGAAGGAAAATTACATGATATGATATATAATTTGAAACTTATGGCATTTAATCGTTTATCCTCTATTTCTAATTATATAATTATTAAAAAATAATTTATTAACAGTTTGACATAATAAATAAATCTTGTATTTTGAGTTCAATGGAAATTTATTTTTGGGGGCGTGGAAACATTGAAAGAAAATCACATCAATTTACATCACTTTGAATTTTATGTCGTTTAATCGTTCAGCCTTTATTTCTAATTATATAATTATTAAAAATAATTTATTAACATAGCTTGATATAATAAATAAATCTTGTATTTTGTGTGCAATGGAAAATTTTTTTGGTGCGTAGAAATTTTGAGGAAAATTACATCATATGATATATAATTTGAATTTAACCATTCTTCCTCTATTTCTAATTATATAATTATTGAAAAATAATTTATGAACATAGTTTGATATAATAAATAAATCTTGTATTTTGTGTTCAATGGAAATTTTTTTTTGGGGGGGGGGCGTGGAAACATTGAAGGAAAATCACATCACTTTACATCACTTTGAATTTTATGTTGATTAATCGTTCATCCTTTATTTCCAATTGTATAATTATTAAAAATAATTTATTAACATAGTTTGATATAATAAATAAATCTTGTATTTTGTGTTCAATGGAAAATTTTTTGGTGCGTAAACATTTTGAAGGAAAATTACATCATATGATATATAATTTGAATCTTATGGCATTTAATCGTTCTTCCTCTATTTCTAATTATATAATTATTAAAAAATAATGTATTAATATAGTTTGACATAATAAATAAATATTGTATTTTGAGCTCAATGGAAATTTATTTTTGGGGGCGTGGAAACATTGAAGGAAAATCACATCAATTTACATCACTTTGAATTTTATGTCGTTTAATCGTTCAGCCTTTATTTCTAATTATATAATTATTAAAAATAATTTATTAACATAGCTTGATATAATAAATAAATCTTGTATTTTGTGTGCAATGGAAAATTTTTTTGGTGCGTAGAAATTTTGAAGGAAAATTACATCATATGATATATAATTTGAATCTTATGGCATTTAATCATTCTTCCTCTATTTCTAATTATATAATTATTAAAAAATAATTTATTAACATAGTTTGACATAATAAATAAATCTTGTATTTTGTGTTCAATGGAAATTTATTTTTGGGAGCGTGGAAACATTGAAGGAAAATCACATCAATTCACTTTGAATTTTATAACGTTTAATCGTTCAGCCTTTATTTCTAGTTATATAATTGTTAACAAATAATCTATTAACATAGTTTGATATCATAAATAAATCTTGTATATTGTGTGTAATGGAAATTTTTTTGGCTCTTAGAAACATTAACATAGAGGAAAAATTAAATAAATTCACTTCACTATAAATCTTATGGTGTTTCATCGTTTATCCTTTTTTATAATCATACAATTAATAAAAATTCCTTTATTATTAATTAAGAAAATTTCATTTCAGTTTGATTTAATACGTGATATCATATTTGGGCGGTACGATTATTAAAATAAAATTAAGGTTAGTTTTGTACACTATTAACGAATAAATTAAAAAAATTCCACTCTTTAAGAATTTCCGCAATTTATTTAATATATTTTTTAAACAAAATAAATATGTTGCCTGTTTTAATATAAATGAAAAAAAAAGTTTAGCATATAAATATAAAGCAAATGACTCACAGTGGGAAAAGAGCAGCGTGTCTCTGAATGCGCCCATGAGGGAGACGGGCCGGGCCCGAACGTTCTTTCTCCGGTCTGATTTCACTGTTTCTCTGGCCATCGGTTCTAATTAGGCGTTTTGAAACATATTTCCGAATTGGGCAACCTCGATGACGACAAGCTGATCTCCTCGGATCAAATTAGAATACGAATTGAAAAGAAATTCATGTATATGGGGCAAACTGTTGGGTTCAAAAGGGCCGTGAAATTTTAACCTGAGGTCAATAATCAATTGATTCGTAACAAGAAAGAAAATCTGTTCCTGGTGACAAGGCACTAAAAACGACCACATAATAACCGGGTTAACTTATCTATTAAAAAAATTAATTGAAAATAATTTTCTGTAATTTTTATACGAAACGTCAGAAATTTTAACAACAGCTTTCAATGTCTCCAAATGAAAAATTGAGTTATATGTAAAAGAGATCAAAAACCTACATTTGAAAATATAATATTTTCATGGTATTTGTCGAGCGGTTTAGTCAAGGTGACAAGCATACACAATGATTGGTTTACTTTTAATCCATGTACATGCTTCTTCTTATGCTTGTTTATATCATGAAGATTATAATATTATTTTCATATGTGGATCTTTTTTATGGTAAATAACCAGGGTCAACTGATGGCAGGAGGTGAAACATCAACGCCTCAATTCCCAAAAATTCTGTCTTACAAATTATTTTTATTTTTTGAAATCAATAGAACCCTTCTTTCATATAATTTTCTACGTGCTTTCTTTTCCCATATGAAGTGTACTATTATAATATCAAAATTTCTATTATATACTAGGCGAATTTATAATTTCTTTTCACACCTACAATCCGTTTTTAAAGGGCTCTCGTAAAATAATTAAAATAAACAAAAGAAAACATATCGAGAAACATTTTAGCTGATTTCTGAATTTTATTCAAATTTTGAAGGTGATTGAATAGTAAAACTCGAATTGTAAACAACTGGGACGAGTAAATTATCGAATCTCTCCTAAACGTCATACTTATTCAAATTTGACCTGGTCTTTTGTCTTAAGAAGAAATCCTACGCGTCATGATCCACCAGCTGTGTAATACTGATCTTTTGGGATCACGGATATGGTCCAAGATTGACAATTGTTGCACTACCGCCGAGCTTTCGGCATTTATTACGCCTTCCTCAGGGATTAAAACTTTTTTTTTACAAGTAATCTTCCAAATAGGTAATGAACTGACCTAGGACCTAAAGCCCTGAGGAAAGCCGAAAGCTTGGCGCTAGTGCCAAAACATCATCATTAAGAGAAAATGTTCCGTTTTCAATCGCCGAAACTGCTACTAGCAATGAAAGGGCTGCCGGTGTCGCCGTGTCTTGGGTAATTTTTCATTGACCTAATTCTTTTTTTTTTTCGAGTAGTTTTATATGGAAAAAACCCGGATCAACAATGCAGTTCATTCATAATGAACGCGACAATATAACGTATCGGAGTGTTTCTTTAGTCAAATTGTCCAGAAAGATTTATTTGTCATAAGCGATCGTAATTATTAAAACAAGTTCATTTTTAAATGACAGTACTGTGTGGCCAAAGCTTATCAAAAAAGTTCAAACATTGAGAATTCTAGCTGTATGTTGTAGTACAAAACGTTTCAAGAAAAATGTAAGCTGATGTCAGGGTTGTAAATGTGGCGAGACAAAACTTTCTACTCATCAACTCAATTATTACAAGTTAATTCAAAACGTGCAAATAAATATAAATGCTGTATAGCTTAAACTTAACTATTCACACCTTTATATCTATGTAAATGATGAGAGACTTGAAGGTCGTAAGTAAGGTGAAACGAGGTTACCGTCCTTTTCATTTCAACAAATAAGGTCAAATAATTGTAAAAATTACAATGTTCTTATTCAACGGGTTTTATTTACATAAAACATAAAAATGCCCTATTAGATAAAGAATGCAGCTTCGGCTCCATATAGAGAGCGCGTTTATTTAATAAATAACATTATGCATACACCTTTAAAGGCAGAGGATTTTAAAATATATTTACAAAAAATTACTAAATTAGCCGAACTATTCGGTGGAGAAAAAGTAAAAAAAAAAATAAATAAATACAACACTCACAATGTAAAGAAAGCGCATAGGAACGCATATGATATGAGAATTGTGCTTGAGCGATTATCTGGCCTCCTGGTCCAATATTTTGAGGAACCAGTGTTGCTTACTAATACAGGACTGATAGTTTTGTGTCCTTAGTGAGTGTTGAATATGAGTGTATTTATTAGCGTGAATGATGATGACCTAGTTGTCGTTAGCACCCAGAGCTCGTGAATGGACGTCCAGGTGAATGGAAGAATAAGTCAGAGGTCAGGCACGGGACTGTCAACAATTGGTGTGGATGATTCTCGAGATTTAACGGTAATTAATTGTAAATTATAATTGTAAAAGCTTGAATTGCCGGTGAACTGCGACAGATGATAGAATCAACTCTGTGTGTATGTATGTACATGCGTGTGCAGTTTTGATCTTATATAAATCAGTGTTATTAAATAAAAAATGCAACAAGATATGGGATATAAGCAGGGCGAGGCAAGATGTTGGCCCATGCCTTTATATAAATTTCCATTTCAAACACTGCAAAATAATTAGCAGTTTTATAGTGCAACGTGGCACAGTCGTCACTTATTTCATTGCTAAACTATTTTCAAATATTTGGCAATAATATTTCGGTGTATTGTTGCCATATTTTAAAAATACTTTCAAATGGAAATGTGGGAAATTCAGAGAGTTTACTTTCTAACTATTTTTTTAGTATTAAGTCGAAATATCCAAAAACTCATGATATCTGTTTAAAAATGTATTTTTTAAAATACTAGACAATCTTGGACATTAATATACTTAGTGATCAACTAATAAAACAGCAATTGTAAAATTAACAGTTGATCTAAAATAAAAAAATAAAGAATGAAATATTGATTACACTTGAACACTGAAATTTTTCAGTTAAATTAATTTTTAAATTATTTTTAAAAAGCTAGACAATTATAAGGAAAACGAATATAGAAATATTTCCCGAGGAATGATGATTTTTCGTTTTGAAACATTCAAATTTGTCAATCTCTATAAAGATGGATGCACATCCTCGCGTACAATGGTCGGGTGATTCCATGATTCTTACACTGCTTCCAAGGTCGTCGGGAAAGTGGAAACAACTAAAAAATTATCTAGCTGACGTCCTTCGACGATGAGCTTCCCGACAAAATTATTTTACATTATTCCAAACTGGACGATTTTACTAACGTGGGAAACATTTTTTCATATCGTGTCGTAATTTCAAGGTGATCAGATGGCGCGATGTCGGGGTTATAAACAGGGAGAGGTAAGAATCTGATTTACCCCAATAACCAAGACCTTACATAAAAAGAATAATTAATTGAAATCTGATTTACGTTTGATTTGCATTAGGTTTAATCTATTAGATTTCGTGGTCCGATTGGCCAAATAACTTCTTTCAATTAATTCATCTTTATGTAAGGTATTGGTTGAAATAAAAAAGCCAGGGTCACGAGCGGGATTCGAACCCACGAACTTCGGCTAAATACACCGCTGCTCTACCATTTGAGCTATCGTCACTTCGATCAACTCGGATAAGGTTTAATGATGAATGATTGAATCGAACTTGATGCGTGAAAGACCTTACGTTGTTCAACATGATATTTTGCTTAAACGTTACACTATGGTTGATTTTAAAGATCAGTGTGTAAACAAATCACATACACAGGAAAAGAAACAATAGACTAGCGAACTTGTTCAACTAACTCGGAATAAAAACAGCACAGGAGAACAATAAGGACTAACAATAACACAGACGAACTATTAAAAAGAAACATAGACACAAAAGAACCGCTAGACAAACACGGTGTTTATAGCATCATATATCAATGCGGAGGCACATAGTTTGGATGGATTGTTAGGAAATTAAGAGATAGATTGAAAGAACTCTCATATACTATTATCGCTATATCAAAGGCATCCCTAACAATCCCCAAAGCATGACTTTAATATACAACGCACAAAAAGGAACGAAAACTCAACATACTGTAGAACCATTTACATTTTAGTGGTCAATTAACCAAGTTACTTCTTTCAATTAATTCTTCTTTTTATGAAAGGTCTTGGTTGAGATAAAAAAGTCAGTATGACGAGCGGGATTCGAACCCACGACCTTCGGTTATCGTGACTTCGATCCACTCGGACACCAACCTCCCATCTCAACCCCACCTTTCGAATTTTCCCTCTTTTTTTTCCATTTTCAAATGTCGTGTAATCAGGTTTGGATACTCAGCGACTTATGAAGCGGCCACTGTTTAGTGAAGTGATACTTCTTTTACTTATTAAATATTAATTCCTTCTACATTTTAGTGATCAATTGATCAAGTTATTTCTTTCATTTTTTTATTTAGAAATCGTGAGATGCGGTCTGGTGTGATGTAGGTTTCAGAAAAACATTTTCTTTATCGTGCCAACGTTTCGATGTTTTCGGGCACTCTCGACACGACACGCAAGAATGGCACAATTACACAGAAGACAAACACTTTGAGACCTGAAGATGATCTCAATAAAGATCGAAACGTTGGCACGATAAAGAAAATGTTTTTCTGAAACCTACATCACACCAGACCGCATCTCACGATTTCTAAATAAATATCGATTAACGGTCACTAATCACCATACATTATTTCTTTCAATTAATTATTCTTTTTATGTAACGTCTTGGTTGAGATCCCGCTCGTGTCACAAACTTTTTTATCTCAACAAAGATCTTACATAAAAAGAATAATTAATTGAACGAAGTACCGTAGAATTTAGAGATGTACAAACAAATAACACTTAAAGGCTCAACTTATACATGTACAAATAAACTTACATAAACACACTACTTTCACATAACTAAAAACACGACAAAACAAAAAACGCAAACGTTTAGAATAAAACAACACCTAAACCAACACAATAAAAAAACGACCCTATGGTGATTTTAATTGTCAGTCTGTTGGTGATTTGCGTAGAATTTAAGCGTCAGTATTATCTATCGTTGGTTTCTATTGGGTTGTCCGGAAAATAATGCAGGATTTTAAGTTTTCATTAAAAAAAATCTATATAAAATATTCTGTTTACGTTTACAGGATTANGAAATTATTTTGATTAAAGAACATTGCTTTAAAGTAACTAGTTTCTTTTTTTTTGTTTAATACCAAAATCCTGCATTATTTTCCGGACAACCCAATACAAAGTACATCTCGTGTCGTTTCCAAAACGTAATTTTGTATTATACAATCATTCGGCTCCGGCTGAATATGCAAATAGGCTTTATTTAGCCGTCCGGGTTTTTTTCCTAATAGAAAATTTCTTTTGTCCCAACAAATTCCTACAAAAAAGGCTGTTAACTGCGGGCTATAAGATCAGTGTTATTGAAGTACAAAGAAAATAATTCATACATTTTCTTCATTCGAAACTGAGGCGGTTTTTGTTAAGAAAATCCATTGTACAATTAAGTACAGAGGCGTCGGTGGCCCCAACGGTTTAGGCGTTGGCATGGCGCTTACGACTATAAGGTAAAGGTCCAGCGTTCGAATCCAGCGTCCCTGCATTAGAACACGACATACTTACAAAGGTGGTTTTTTTTTTTTCAAAACAACGGCATCCCAAGGTTTCAGAAAATTACAGCAATTTTAAAGAACGTTGAACAAAAGGTCTGTGTCAGATTTAAAAATATTGAGTTACAAAAATTATTTAAAAGTAATAGCATAATAATCGATATGTCAATATTATTGTTGCGTAGTAGTTGATATATCCTTTGCTGTTGGGAACCCTCGTAAAAAAATTAATTAATTAAGTACAAGCGGGCATGGTCAATGAAACCACTAGTCTCTAATAAATTTAATAAAAAAAATTCAACTTATAAGAACCAAACATAGAAAATCAAAAAGGATGCCCAACAGTCAAGAATTAGCAATTAAGCCGCGCCCAATAAAATTGAGAAGTTTTAATCGGAAATTTGGAATATCCAAACTGTTCGAATTTAACCACAAAAACATTGCTTCTACATGCTTGCATTTTATCGTTACTATCTAATTTGATTTTTTAAATTATTTTCCAGCGTCCTACTTGAAGAAGGCATGCTCAAGGAACGATCCGAACATTAATAAGTGTGTCGTCGAGGTCGGAGCCCCAGCGATAAAAGTCGTAACAAATGGTGAGAACAACAATCTGAACTCATGGTCACCCACCAATCATAAATACAAAAACGTACTCTGTGTCGTTGATAGAAGATATAGATGAAAAATATAGTTTTAAGACACAATAATGAAATTGTATTCATGAAGTTTTAAAGTTCTAAGTGTAAAGTGTTCAAATACAATCTTGATTGTTTCAGTTATAAATAAATTAAATGAAAAAAAAGCATCCAGCCCGCTCGTCCTTGAATTAACGGGACCGATGGCGTTCTGTCTGCGTTTGTGTAACGATATTAATGACATGAAATTTGCATACTGGAACACCAAACATGGATATGGATCATACCGAATTTGAGCGGTAACTCGTTTCTCTTGAACGTAATTTTTTGCCCATCCACCACCCCGCCGTATCGCAGAGACCCTATACCGGTTATCTCTTGGGTGTCATCTTTCGAAATTATCGGGGCAGCTTTGTCAAATTGGCAAAATGGAAGTGCGCGACGTTGAATAATTTATTACAAATATTTTAAAAATTCGATTAATTTTAAAAAAGTAATCTCTAAGACAGGAACGATGATCATAGCGGATCATACAACATGCAGCTTTTTTCTTTATATTACAATTGCATACAAAATGCAGCAAAAGTTATGGCAGTTTCAAGGATATACACATACACATGTATTTACACAATATTGTATGCACATTTACATGTCTGGAGTGATTGGCCGTTATTACCTGTCTGGAGTTATGATTAATGAGGAAAGCAGCCGACTCTAAGGGCTGCCAAAGTTGCACAATCATGTCGCACTTCAGTCTCCTATGAGGCTTGAAAGGAAGGGTTGAACTGGACAAGTTGCGAATTAATGGATTTTAATAAGGAGAGAAATTTTTTGGGGGGAATTTCAATGAGGTTTGGGACATAAGGTATATTGAGATCGGAGTGGATAGTATAATTGATTACTGTCCTGTACTTCCATCCCCACCTCTTCAAAATCCAACGTTTATAAACATAAAACATCAAAATCTCACTGGCACTCTCAACACGTCACCCAACAATGACACATCTACACAGAAAACAAACACTTTGAGTGAGTCTAAAATTTGTAGTATTGTATAAATTCACTTTTCTCACATCCCACATGTATTTGTATAATTTAAACAATGTTTATAAATCCCAGGCCCTGAAGATGATCTCAATAAAGGTCGAAACGTTGGCACGATAAAAAAAATGTTTTTCTAAAACCTACATCACACAGGTATATGAATATCACGATCTCCAAATAACAATTGATTACGTACAATGGAGTATCAACTATTTAGTAAAGGATGCGGGATTGGAGGGATTGTATTTTGTTAAGATTGGAACACTTGGCTTCGTCCAAATAGACCCGAATGTCAAGTAGTCTCTTCAACGAGTGTTTGTGTGTGTGTGGATTCCACGTATATCTTTTGTCCACGTAGTCCAAGATATCGTATACTATCCGCAGGAAGGAATGGGCGTATAAATACACAAGTGGAAAAGTTTACGGTGCCATTGAACACGATGCCATTCTACGTGACTTTAGCATCAATAGCCTACATTACAGAACCAAAGGTTTTACCCTACGTGATTACGTCGGTGGATTTGAAGATCTAAAAAATGGGTTTCGATACGTTTAATCGGGTTTTCCAAAAATTCGTTATCCAGAAGATCCTGTTAGGATGCTGATGTATCCTGTTGATACTGCCAAGTTTAAGTAAGCACGGCTTGTAATCTTCAGCCAAGTTTATGGCTAGACGAATTTCGCGCACATTTATCAATGAGTTGGCTAGAACCGATATCGTTGATCATATTGATACTAAAGTTCTGCTAAAAAAAAGGCAAAAATCATCAAGCGTGTTGTCCATTTCATAATGAAAAAAAGCATTGATACTTACAGTAAAGTGGTTTATTGTAGGCTTTACACAACGAAAAGCTCGATAACGACGCTGAATTTATTATATGACGAGGTCCTTTCTTTTTACACCCAATAGAGGTTACCTGTATTGCGTATATTTAAGGACAGAAGGAGTGACTATTGTGGTAAGTTTCAATTAATTAAGGTTTTTAGTTGAGATATAAAAGTCAGTGTCACGAGCGGGATTCGAACGCTCGAAAAGATAGATACGCCGCTACTCTACCACTTGAGCTATCGTGACTTCGATCCACTCGGACACTAAATTCCCATCTGAACCCCACCTTTTGAATTTTCCCTCCTTTTTGCCATGTCCTTTTAGTGTCCGAGTGGATCGAAGTCACGATAGCTCAAGTGGTAGAGTAGCAGCGTATCTAGCCGAAGGTAGTGGGTTCGAATCCCGCTCGGGACACTGACTTTTTTATCTCAACTAAAAATCTTAATTAATTGAAAGATATTAATTGGTCAAGCGGACCACGAAAACTAGTGAATTTAGTGTGGTAAGGTTGAGCATCACGATTATCAACTTTATCTAGCTATCAACGATATTGATCACACAAAAACGAAAGCCCGATCCCTTCAAATTAATGAAATTTGTGAAGGCTGCCATAAAAAAAACGACGGTAATTTAGAGACAATTAAGAGTGAAAACTATTATGATTTTTGATTATTTACTTTGATTCTCTACTATCGAAGCCAGGGTTTAAGCACATGAAAATGTTATTGGAGATTGCGGATGGAACAGGATCAATATTTATGTTAATGCTGTAATGAAGGAGCAAAGGAAGGATCAAACATGTCAAAATTAAAAATTGAACACGAAAAAGGTGCCTTGGGTTACGTCAAATGATTTGAGGATAAGGCAGGATGTAAAAGGAAGTATGTCCTTCCGCAAAAAATCCTCCTGCCATACCCGACCAAACCTGGTGGCATGTTAAGAATCTAACAACAGATAATTCATTATTTTGCTTTATAGCAGTTAGGCCAAGAAACTAAATTCAGCGCCTTCAAACTGTGTGATATGTAAACCCGCAATGCAGTCTCGATTTGCGGTTTAGCGTCATTCGCTAGCCAAGGGTTTTCTTCCTATACATTTAATGTAGTGTATTAATTTTCAATTTTATTGGTAATTTAATTCGCAAATTATCTGATCGACAATCTTGAATGAAAGAGATAGATAGATAAGCAAGTAGGTAGAAATAGAGAATGCTTACTTTTAAGGTGTGTGTTTCTTTGTTGATCAGCAATAAAACACTTATTAAAACATATTATAATTGTTTATTAAATCTTTTGTGTTTTTTGTATGGTACGATTTGCATTTTAATTACCCGTTAAATTGTTACATTTACTTAGACAGGTAAAGTAAAACTTCCAAATTTTTTCAGGCGACCCTAAATACAAGATCCCCAAGCTGGATCCTCTTAAGGTTTCAGCGATCAAAATTCAGCAAGGGACGAGGCAAGTAGGTTTGAACCTGGTGTGCAACGACTGTCTGATGTGGGGCTTGCAGAACACCGTTTTTTACAAGGCCGAGTAAATCAAGTAGATCAAGGATTTTTAGTTGAACAGCAATGATTTATTTGTTACTTTAGCGTCGATTTTCCGAATCGGATGTGTACGTGGTACTTCACCCTGGACAAGATGAGGATCACTGGCAAGTACAACGTGAGCGGACAAGTCCTACTTCTGCCCATAACTGGCCACGGAAACATGGAAATGCTTTTAGGTAAAATAATTTTCTAAATTTTTTTTAAAAATGTACAATCATTGCTTGATTTTTCTTTTATAGACGATCTGAAATTTTCATACCTTTACGATTGGACCTTTCGAGAAAAGAGCAACGGTCGCACTTACGTAGTCATCGGCAACAGCACTCTCCCCTTCGAGGTGGGCAACATGAAGATAACACTTGAGAATCTTTTCAACGGCGACAAACTTCTCGGTGAGAAAATTTCCTAAAAAGCAACGAGGCAAAGGTTTTAACTTTATTTTACACTTTCAGGCGGCAACATGAATCGTTTCATCAACGAAAACTGGAAGGAGATAATGAAAGATTTGAGCCCAGCGTTTAGTAAATCTTTGGCGTCCATTTTCAAGACGGTACTTCAAAATATGGCCAACGTCGTACCGTTCGATATCATGTTCCCAGAAAAGTATCCAGTTACATAAAAATCTGCAGGTGGAACTAAATCAGCGTCTTTCTTAAATCACAAATCGCGTGATAGTTTTTAATTGTTTAATCTTAAGATGGACTATAATTATTAAGATGCTTAACACTAGTGAAGGGCAATAAGTTTGGAACTTTTAGTACTTTAAAATTGACGTTTACTTAATAGATAATGTACCAAAATATAAAACGTGATGTAAAATTATTTTTAAAAAATTTGTTTTATTAAAAAACCTTGCAAATATCTCATAATCCAAGTTAATTGCATTGCTTTCTTGCCTCAGAGAGTCATCAGTTAGAAACAATGAAAGTATCAAATTTGAAAAGTAATATAAAAAAACAATCACTTTTGAACAGTTGTGATAAAAACTGGTTTTCCTTTATTAGAACTGCTCTTGTTTATGTGGCCCCACCTTTTTCAAAAATATATATCGATTACTGACTATAAATTCATTTGCAATTCTTCCCACCTTAGAAAAACATGTGCTATATATGTTATAGCATATATATATAATCAAATAGAGTTCAGACTGGGGAATGATCATTGGGTTGTTTTCAAACGAAGATAAGTTGGAAAAATCAAAAATTAACTTAGAATATTCATCTTAGTTACAAAGGGTTTAAAATCGAGGGAAGACATATTAGATTAACGATATACAGGGTGTTGGCTACTCGTGTTACGAACTTTGCCAGTAGATTCTACATTAAAAATGGAACCAAAAAGTCCGAATTAACTAAGGTCCGAATCTCAGCAATTTCGGAGTTATTCCACTTTTCCCGATTTTTTAGATTTCACGATCTTTCTTCAAATAAACACTGATAGATAAAACTGAAAGGTTTTAGAGAAATCCGCTGATACCATTGAAAACTCCGTTAAATTTCCAGTAAGATTGGATCAATACTAAACTTGTAAACATTCGTGAAATAAGCGTTTCAGTTCCCAAAACTTTTAAAAATAATTTTTTTTGTTTCAAAGTTGATAACCTTACTAGGGTGGTTTTAATCTACTATTCCCAAACCTAGTGACCAGAAAATTTCAGCAAACGAACTACATTTAATATCCTTTTTAGTGGTGTAATTGCTTTTTTAATTACTTTTTTCGAAGATGAAAACATTGATGAACGAAAGGAAAAAACCGTGGTTGTAGGATTGGTCAGGTGAAAAGATTAATAATAATAAAAAGTAAAAACCTAAGGAAATTTTCAATGAATTTATTAAACGTTTTTTAATTCTGATTCGCTCTCCACCATCCGAAATGTATTTCTGACGCGCTGTCGTCGCATTAAACCCGCAAAACCCGTATGTAAGATGTATATCAGAGTATTCTTCATTAGAAAAAAGTAGCCACCGTGTTAACAAGATATCACATAAATAACTAAAAACGTTTTGAATCTTAAAACTCTTTTATTTTGGAGAATAATCCTTTAATCAAAGTTGCAGTCGTGTTGATAAATAAGTAAACGTTTCATAACTTCCGTCAACATTTCCTTAAGTTTTTTAAAAATTTCCACCTTACCACGGTTTTTTCCTTTCCTCCATCAATTTCTTCATCTTTGAAAAAAGTAATTAAAAAAGAAATTATACCACTAAAACATATATTAAATGGAGTACGTTTTTGGAAATTTGCTAGTCTCTAGGTTTGGAAATAGTAGTTAAAATCACCATAGTAAGTTTTCAACTTAAAAAATAAAAATATTTTTCTATGTTCTGGCTCCTAAAACGCTTATTTCAGGAACGTTTAGCATTGATCACATCTTATTAGAAATTTAACGTAGTTTTCAATGGTATCAACGGATTTGTTCAAAACCTTTTACTTTTGGAGTTATCACTGTTTATTTGAAGCAAGGTCGTGAAATATAAAAAAATCAGAAAACGCGGAATAACTCCGAAACTGTTAAGATTCAGACCATAGTTAATTAGGACTTATTGGCTCCACATTGAATGTAGAATCTACTGGAAAAGGGTGTGGTGTTTAGTGACCGTTAGCCAATGATTATTCCGAGATCGTGAGATGCGGTCTGTGTGACGTAGATTTTAGAAAAACATTTTCTTTGTCGTGCCAATGTCTTTATTGAGATCATCTTCAGGGCTCAAAGTGTTTGTTTTCTGTGTATATGTGTCATTCTCGTGTGTCGTGTTGATAGTGCCTAAACAGGACACTCTCAACTTGGGCCTTGGCAAGTGTCCTAAGACCTTTCGTCTTCTCCACACTCTTTCACGCCCATGTCAATATGGTAGAGCAAATCTGCACTCATCTATAAAAAGCACAGCAGACCAATCGTCCAAAGACCAATGGCTGTGATCTCGAGCAAATTCGAGCTGTGCAACTCTGCGTTTTCTGGTCAATTTTGGTTCTTACGGGGCGAAAAGCCATCAGTCCATGCTGATTTAATCTTCTTCGAGCAGTGCGTTCAGAAATTTCGACACCTCGAACTTCCTGGAGCTGATGAATCGCTTGAACAACAGTGAGGTGACGGTCTTACAAAATTCTCCAAGTCAAAAAACGGTCGTAGTGTTTCGTAGGGAACTCTGATGGCAATAGCTGCATTCCTGATGGAACGTCATCATCAGGACACCACACCACACGCAATATCCTCAGCGCTAACTTTAAAAACTGAAATTAAGAAAACAAACATGAAAACTAAACAATTTATTGCTTCAGAATTCAAATGACACTGAATAAACATTTTAAATTCCGTAAAAACTAAACATTGATTTTTTTTATCCTTTCTTTGGATTAAAGAATAAGTGTGTTTACCTCTAATTGATATTCCTAATTTAAAACATAGCATAAACAAATATTTATTGGTAAAAACAATGAGACAAAAGGGCAGAATTTTGCTTTAACGAGAAAATTGAAAACAAATGAATTGCGTGAATTTTTTACCTGTCAAAGTATAAATTAAATTTTTAACATAAGGTCTAAGGTCATAATAAACAATAAAAATACATTTATCACTTGATTTTAAAAGTGAGGTTTTTGCTGCTTTTTTCACATTAGGAGGACAGAAGAAAATCATTGTAACAAAAAATTGCGTGGAATTTTTTTTGCCTGACAATGTATAAATTAAATTGGTTACATAAAGTAATTCTGCTCTATCGCTGGTCAATTTGTCGTTATGAGTTACTAAGGTCATAATAAACAATAAAATAAAATTCATTTATCACTTTATCACTTGATTTTGAAAGTGAGGTTTTTGCAGTTTTTTTCAGGTTAGGAAGACAGAAGAAAATCACTTTAACAAATCAAAGGGTGGAATTTTTTTCCCGACAATATATAAATTAAATTTGTAACGTAAAGTAATTCTGCTCTACCGCTGGTCAATTCGTCGTTATGAGTTAGAAAAGTCATAATAAACAATAAAATAAAATTCATTTATCACTTGATTTTGAAAGTGAGGTTTTTGCTGCTTTTTTCACATTAGGAGGACAGAAGAAAATCATTGTAACAAAAAATTGTGTGGAATTTTTTTTGCCTGACAATGTATAAGTTAAATTGGTAACATAAAGTAATTCTGCTCTATCGCTGGTCAATTCGTCGTTATGAGTTACTAAGGTCATAATAAACAATAACAATTCATTTATCACTTGATTTTAAAAGTGAGGTTTTTGCAGTATTTTTCACATTAGGAAGACATAAGAAAATCACTGTAACAAATCAATCGGGTGGAATTTTTTGCCTGACAATGTATAAATTAAATTTGTAACGTAAAGTAATTCTGCTCTACCGATGATCAATTCGTAGTTATGAGTTAGTAAGGCCATAATAAACAATAAAAATTCATTTATCACTTCATCACTTGATTTTGAAAGTGAGGTTTTTTTCACATTAGGAAGACAGAAGAAAATCACTTTAACAAATCAAAGGGTGGAATTTTTTTCCCGACAATGTATAAATTAAATTTGTAGCATAAAGTAATTCTGCTCTACCGCTGGTCAATTCGTCGTTATGAGTTAGAAAAGTCATAATAAACAATAAAATAAAATTCATTTATCACTTGATTTTGAAAGTGAGGTTTTAGCAGTTTTTTTCACATTAGGAAGACAGAAGAAAATCACTGTAACAAATCAATAGGGTGGAATTTTTTGCCCGACAATGTATAAATTACATTTGTAACATAAAGTAATTCTGCTCTATCGCTGGTCAATTCGTCGTTATGAGTTACTAAGGTCATAATAAACAATAAAAATTCATTTATCACTTGATTTTAAAAGTGAGGTTTTTGCACCTTTTTTTACATTAGGAAGACATACGAAAATCACTATTTTTTTTCTAAAACTCTTCGCAAAAATATGTTGTTTTTATGTCAGATGGTCCAATCGTGTCTCTTGTCAATTGATCTATCTTGAAAATCGTTTATACCTTGGTCGGCCGGCGAATATTGAAACGACCCGGAAACGGCCCGGGTTACGCAAGTGTGGCCCTCTGAGAAGAGTGACTCGCCCATCGGTTACATACAGCATTTATCTAGTCATTAGATTATGTATAATAAGTTCCTTTTGGGATTGTTCAGAAAACACTGTTTCGAAAGAAAAGAATTAGGCTGAAGGGAGACGAGCCGGAGTGGTCGCGCCAGTGACGCAAGGGAGACGAGACTACTGGGCCGACTTTCACTTCGATTGAAAGACACTTTCGCACTTCCCGGTCATTCCTCAGATTCCCATAGCCGGCTGGGAAATAACTTATTCGCCGCTGACTCACTAAACTTGAACTTGATATTTCAAAAAAAAAAAAAAATGCTGTGACGAGTTCAATTGGAACAGAAACCCGATCACCAAACCAGAACAATGCATCTATTAAAATAGAATCTATTCAAATTTTCTACCTTGTCTATAACAGACAGTTGTATAACAATCGTCGATTTTTTTTTTTTTGTCAAACCGGTATCAGGTCAAATTAGGTCGACAGATTGAACTTTCATGTAAACATACTTAAAAAACTGCTACATTTGCCAGATAAACAGTGATAACACAGCGCGTGGAGATCTTTCTGGAAAATAAACATATATAATAAATGTATAAATTCATCGTATTATAATCAAAATAGAAAGCTGTTTCTTGGATCATTGGAAAGTTTACGCAGTGTCTTTTTAAAGTGCGCCAGGAGTTTTTCCCTAGTTTTGAACGTAAACAAAAAGTGACCAATGATAACTCCCCTTAAATATTTGTGCAGATTCCAAAACCGTTGTCAATTTTTGTAAATCCAAATGGAAACCCAAAATTTTGTTCTGTAACTAGATTTTTTATGAGAAGAATGAGTACCTAAACATTGGAACACCTCCAATATTGACGGCTCTAGGATTTTTTGAAAATATTAAAAAATTAAGGAAATTTCAAATATGATATGCCATCAGCTTTTCCCCAATTTTTTTAATAGATACAAAAAGTGATCAGTAGTAACCCCACATACATTTTGGTGCAGATTCCAAACCCGTTGTCAATTTTGTTTTTATGTCAAGTATCGTCGGGTTTTTCAAATGGTAACCCCAATTTTTTTCTGAAAATAGATTTTTTCTGAGAAGAAATAGTACCTGAACATTCGAACACCTCCAATATTGACGGCTCTATGATTTTTTGAAAATATTAAAAAATTAAGCAAAATTCATATATAATATGCCAGAAGTTTTCCCTATTTTTTTGAACAGATACAAAAAGTGACCAATGGTAACCCCACTTACATTTTGGTGCAAATTTCAAAACCGTTGTCAATTTTGTTTTTATGTTAAGTATCGTCGGGTTTTTCAAATGGTAACCCCAATTTTTTTCTGAAAATAGATTTTTTCTGAGAAGAAAGAGTACCTGAACATTCGAACACCTCCAATATTGTCGGCTCTATGATTTCTTGAAAATATTAAAAAATTGAAGAAAATTCATATATAATATGCCAGCAGCTTTTGCCTATTTCTTTTTAACAGATCCAAAAAAGTGACCAATGTGAAGTGATTAGTGACCGTTAATCGATATTTATTTTAAAAAGTGAGCAATGGTAACCCCACTTACATTTTGGTACAGATTCCAAAACCGTTGTCAATTTGATTTTGATCTCAATTATCGTCATGTTTTTATTTCAAATGGCAACCCCAATTTTTTTCTGAAACTAGATTTTTTCTGAGAAGAATGGTTACCACAACTCTGGAACACCTCCAAAATTGTCGGCTCTAGGATTTCTTGAAAATATTAATAAATTAATTAAATTTCCTGGACATGTGTATTAAACGCAAGTTTCTAATTTATTTATTTTCACACATGAGTCGGTAGGTAAACATAATAATTATAAAAAACTTTAAACAATACCATTTCTCAAAATAAAAATGAGTGAAATTACTTGCTTGAATGTAAGTAATTATCTGGGTACAAATAACCTAACGATTATTTAAACAATTAATATGATAATTTTATTTTGTCTTGTCAACCTTTCTTTAAATAAATTGTTCAAATTCAAGACACTTCTGCCGAATACATAGATTAAAGTCATTTCACTGAGAAAACAAAGGAAATGGAAACTTGAAATTATCTAAAGTTTTGATTGAAATGAAAAAGTTAGTGTCTCGAGCTGGATTCGAACCCACGGACCTTCGGCTAAATACGCCGCTGCTCTAACCAATTCTGGCTGAAGGTCGTGGGTTCGAATCCGGGTCGTGATACTAACTTTTTCATTTCAATCAAGACCTTAGATAAAAGGAATAATTGATTGAAATAATTAATATGGTCAATTAAATTAATTTTATATGAAAGATGTTTAATCCGGCATAATTGTGTAATTGTTTATTTCATGATTTAAATAAACTACTTAAATAAAGATCATATGGATTAACAACATTATTTATGAAATTTCCTTAATTTTTTAATATTTTTAAAAAATCCTAAAGCCGTCAATATTGGAGGTGTTCCAATGTTATGGTATTCATTCTTCTCAGAAAAAATCTAGTTTCAGAAATAAAATTTGTGATTACCATTTGAAATAAAAACCCGACAATACTTGGCAAAACTGACAACGGTTTTGGTATCTGCGCCAAATTGTAAGCGGAGTTACCATTGATCACTTTTTGTATCTGTTAAAAAAGTAGGGAAAAGTTACTGGCATATTATTTATGAAATTTCCTTAATTTTTTAAATTTTTCAAAAAATCCTAAAGCCGTTTTAAACAATTAAATAATAAAGTAAAAATATATTAGCGTTTATGTTATTTTTATCTACTTTTCAGTAACTGGCAATTTCCTTTATTTATTTAGACATCTATCCATGTCTGTTATTATGTTCAGTGTATTTTTATGAATTGTAAATTAACCTTTGGTATAAGAATCCATCGTTTAATGATCCTACATTAAAAACAGTTTTCCTTTTGATATTTATCAGAAAAAGTGTAACCACAACAATATAAATTAAGTAAATAAGCGTTGACCAAGTCAATTTTTCCATTTTCTGTGACAATCCCATTGTTTTATTTGCAAAAAAATTATACAAAATTTGCATTAAAATTTGCCAACGCAATTATGACAGCCTAAAACAGTTTTTTAAATTTTGAATTGACAAGAAATTGAAACATCCACGTAAACTTGAATCTTAAGAATTAGCCAACAAAGACTGGTTACATCAAAAATTAAATATTTGTACTGGAAAAGTGTGTTATTGTTATTTGGCTGATTCATTATTATTTGGACTTTCTAATGGTATACATATTAATATACATGTACATATAATATTAAATAAAAATAAAATAATATAAATATTATTTTTAACTTATGCCTGACTTAATGCTACGAGCTTGGCGGCTAAGTGGTTCGTTTGGTCGTTATCATTTTGGAAATGTCACGTCAATCTTGAAAATTCGCAAGTTGCTTTTGAGTTTTGTCGACAATCTTTAACTGATCCTGACAGTAATTGTGGGATTTGAAAGAAAGAGAAAATATTGATCACATCGTCATATTAGAAAAAGTTAAATGTAGTTAAAAATTATAGTTAGTATTAGTTAGGATTGGTTTTTTTTTCCGAAGGGGAATTCGGTTCGAAATTATCCAGTCCGACTTATGTCCAGAGGAAAGGGGTTGCGGGATCGACACCCTGACCTTGGTACTGGTGGGACCGCTTCCTGGTCCTGGAAGGTGGGGTGTTCTGATGTACGGGGAGGAGAGTCCACATGCGAACCCTTCACAGTTCCTCACAGCCATGCCGTCCAAACTCTCGACTTTCATCCTGGGAGCTTTCGCCCTCCTCGTCGCACCGAGCTGTCAGCTGAAACTTCGTGAGTATACCACTGAAGAAAGGGAAACGAAAAATAAAGCATTTGTAGAAAGGTCTATTCCAATCGTTTATACAGATACTTTGTTTTTTTTTAAATAATTAAACTAAAAAAATTTCCAAATATCAAACGATGCATAACTAACAAAACAAAAACACAATAAATATCCTTAACATAATAAAAAAAGATAAATAATCGAAATATTTCTATATACCATTAACTTTTTATTATCTTCCTACGAAAATGTATGCAGTATTCTACTGCCAATAATTTTTTATACAAAGAGTTAATATGCTTAACAAAAGTACGGGAAAGTGGGTGTCGTGAACCGATGATTTACCTATGTAAATACAACAGCTATGATTATATTCAATGTTTTACCAAGGAGTCAATATTAACAACATTAATATTTTACCATAAATAAATAAAGTACTTAACTGTAAGAATAATTAAAATATATTCTGATATATCTGGTACACGTTCGAATTTAATTGATTAATTAACAGATACAACCTGGTATTCAAAAGTGAAACTGGTGAAGAATTTAAAAGTAATTTTTTTGCAATGTTTCTCTTCTAATATTTTATATTAGAATTATATATAGAAGAATATATAATTTAAAATAGATTTAAATGATTAATAAAATTATAAATTAAACTTTTCTCTCACGCTCAATATCACTGTCGCTCTATGCTCTCACTTTCTCTCTCTTTCTTTCTCTCTTTCTCGCTCACTACCATTCCCACTATCACACCCTCACTCACTCCATCATTCGTTCACCTCGCCTCATTCACTCACTCACTTCACTCAACTCATTTATATTTTTACAGCCTTAAGACATGCAAAATAAAGACTTTATCTCTCTCACTTACTCTCTCTCTTACGCGCTCTCACATTCTCTCCCACCCACTCTCACTCTTCCTCTTCTCACTCTCTCTCTCTTTCTTTCACTCACACTCTCTGTCTGTCATTCTCCGTCTCTCTCTCTCTCTCTCTCTCTCTCTCTCTCTCTCTCTCTTTCTTTCTCTCTTTCCCTCTTACTACCATTCACACTATCACACCCTCACTCACTCATCCATTCATTCACCTCACCTCATTCACTCACTCACTTCATTCACGTCACCTCATTCACTCACTTCGCTTCATTCACGTCACCTCGTTCATTCACTCACTCATCTATATTTTTACAGCCTTAAGTCATGCAAAATAAATACATTATCTTTCTCACTTACTCACTCTCTCTCTCTCTCACCCTCTTTCTTTCTTTCACTCACATTCACACTCTCTCTCTCTCTCTCTCTCTCTCTCTCTCTTTCTCTCCATATATATATAATGTACATAATGTATGTTATATACATGTTCTCTCCATAATGTACATACACTGGAATACACAGTGTGTAATTTTTTCTCGAGAAGTTGCGTCTTTTTTATATGTATATATAAATAAATATGATTGAATAATATTTTGATTCACAACTACAATAGACACGAGTAAACTAGTGAATATACAAAAAAATTACGACGTTCAACAAACGTCACTGGAAAAAATATACATTCTGCTAATAAAAACCACAAGAGGATTTGTACAGAAAATTAATTTGCAGTTTTCCTATTACGATATACATATATATAAGAAAGTGAAATTTCACCTAAACATGTTCAAAAGTTCAAAAATCAAGAATGAATGTTGTTTCATTCAGAGAATAAATACAATAATACAAAATAATCAAATTGTTGTTAAGATGTTCAACATCACGACAACAAAACACATTTTATAATTTTTATAATGTCCCCAAGGGTAAGATAATTGTCGTAAAATTTGGTTATTTGATTGATATATTCTTGTCATGATAAATCTCATTATTATTGTCTGATCAAATCAATGAATCAAATCATCAAATTAATTTTTGAAATTTTTATCTATCTATTATATTACATTCAAAATTTTAGCGAAGGGTTCTTCATGTTAAACTGACTTTTGAATTTAAGTTCTTTTATATTTTTTATGGGTTTTTATAGTTAAACTGATCGAGTAGGTTTTAAACTTTAATGTTAAACTTATTACTAAGTTGAAGGTAAAGATGTCATTTAAACAAATGATTTGATGATCGGTGATGATTTGATAAGTTTAATAACATTTTTTACGGATCATACATACAATATGTTAATATATGTAACGATTCAGCCTTTTTATTTTTTATTTTTCATGGAATCTATTGTTTTATTTTCTGAATGGACAGATTAAAGAAGGTGTGGGTAAATATTACTGACAAAAACAAATACAAATTAATATAATAAAAAAGTATATGATAGATTAATTAATCTTTTTATGTAAGGTCTTGGTTGAAATGAAAAAGCTAGTGTCACGAGCGGGATTCCAACCAGCCGAAGATCGCGGGTTCGAATCCCGCTCGTGACACTAGCTTTTTCATTTCAACCAAGACCTTACATAAAAAGATTAATTAATTGAAAGAAGTAATTTGTTCAATCAGACCACTAATGGATTTTATATGAAAGATGTATAATCCGACATAATTGTGTAATTGTTTATTGCATGATTTCAATAAACTACTTAAATAAAGATCTGAGATTTTGAGAAACATTCATTGAAATTTTAATTTTTGCTACAGTTACAAAGTCGAAAGATAAATAAATATAAACTATGCGCTTATAATTTTATGTCGTATGTCTTTTGAGAATCGGCCGTAACGAACAGAGGCTAAGTTTCAAAATGTTGAATCACGCTGTGAAGTAACCAAGTCCTCTTTAAGCCCTTTGTACGCCGTATTGCAATCGGTTCTGATCTGAAGTTTCTCAATCGGCCGGCCATCTGAATGCAAAATATCCATGTGAATCTCGTAATGCACGTGTGCATTTCGACACCATATGCCCTTGACTCGTCCTGCTTACCATTCAACCTGATTAGAACGTTACATTAACCTTTTTTTTCAATGACACCTCTTAAGATTGTTAAACGAGGGCCCGATTAAAATCGCGAATTCAATCTCGCTTTTTATTATTGTACTAGACCGCTTACAAACTGCTACTAGAATTTGTAAAACAAAATAAAATCCACAGAAAAATAATAAGTGATATACATAATAGATACAATGCTTCAAAACAAGTTTAAAATAACCACCTTGGCCATTCATTTCTGCTACAACTTTTTTTAAGTGAAAAGATTCTGACTGATATAACCCGAACTTCCTGATGTTTATTAATTACATAAACTGTGCACCGGTCTTATGAAAGTTGAAATGTGAGCCTGGAGCAGTGTCGAAGACAGTTTAAAGACTGTTTAGGAGCGACTTATTGTGTAACCTAGTTCTTTCACCGCACTTCCCGCAATTTATAATCTCCCTGAAATCGTGTACAGAGTAAAGATCCATTAACACGACCTTCCGTAAAGGCCACTTTTTGATGTGCAATGTTTCTCTGGCACGAATAAGCAAAACTTAAAGATTCATCGTATTACTATGTTAATTTGACATATAACTAACACGTTTCATATTTTTCAACGTGTTTCAACATAAGTTAGATCTATCGACTGCTTTTGTACTCACGAATAATCTGGCACCTGTTGTCAAGTTGATGGGAAAAAAAAATTCAATTGTTATCTGCCAAGCTTTCGACCTATTTGAACGTCATCATCAGGACAAAGCAAACTTAAAGAATTATACAAATTCACATAATTAAATTTTAAATAAATGGTTTCAATTTTTTGGACATAGACTCAGTCTCAACATTGCCAAGAACCGTGATATCAATCACATTAATAACTTAATTATGTCAATTTACTTCTAGTCAAATACCAATTATATTTGACTTAGAATCATTTTTAGACTAAAAGTTTAATTGGACTCGACACTGAACACATTTTGGGTCAGCTTATTCTGGATCGTTTACGTTTAGGCTTAAAGGCTAAAACCCTGAAAAAGTGTTATACGAAAATTAGTTATCAGACGATACCACAGGCGACACTAATCTTACAATATAATCGAGATTAAGGGGGACCAAATTTTTATCACACTGATGTGAATTCAACTTCCAGTACCACTTTCAACTGTGAAACACTCATTTCACGAATAATTTGTTTCTCGGTATGGTCCGGATTAAAAAAAAAAAACGATCTCTATCTGCCAGGTAAAACAATCAAAGATGACTCGAAATTGACATAATTAAAATTTTAATATGATTGACTATCACAGTCTTTGGCAATGCTGGGTTCCTCTTTCCTCAAAGAAATGTTGAAACCATTTATTAAAAACACAATGTCATTTTGTAAGCACCTTTAAAATAGTTTTGCTCTGGTGATAATCTTAAGAAAGCTCGAAAGCTCGGCGGACAGCAATTTTTCGTCCATTTGACCAAACCAAGTTACAATTTATTTGTGGATAACAAAGGAGGACAGTTCCGCATTGGGATGATGTAAGTGAAACCCGATCATTGTTGAAATCTTTTGTTCCCATTTGATATCTTGTTTTAAAATGTGCATTGTACATTTTCTTTTGGTAGATTTTTTTTCAACCGTAACTGCATCACCTACACCTACATGTTCCATCCCTGATAAAAATAAAATAAAAATAAAAAGTTTAAAAAAAACATTAGGCATTCTGGTCTTAAACTGAGTTTTAAACTTATATATATAGCATTTTCAGTTAGCTCAAGTTTTTACGGCATTGTCTAGAACATTTTATCTCAAAGGTTATTTATTTTAAACTATCAGGGAAGATGGCGAAACGCGTCTGACATAAGAACCTACTTAACCTACCAAAATGATCTGTATCGACCAAATTTCATCTCACCAAAATTTAATAAATATGTCCTAAACGCAAATTGATTGCCTTGAAATAGTGCTCTTTTATTAAAAAATTTGTTAGGATTGTATTGAAATTGTGTGCGTGTGAATTTATATACATACGCATATACATATGTTCAATTCAATATATGTGTGTATTAAAAGAAAATTCATCGCAAAGTATCAACAATGACAACAATTTATGTTGTTAGTTTAAGAAATTTGTTTTAGCGCCTGTTAACCTGAAGATCGGCAATCTTGCAATGCACGTTGGTTATAAGGTTTAGCATGACGACTTTCACACGGCGTTTTTACGATTGAATTATAAGTTTAAACAAATTAAATGAGTCTATGAGTTTGTGTGAGACAAAATAGAAATTAAGTTATGGCAATTTAGTTACAACAATTACAAATTTAATTTATCATTGTTTTTGAGAAATCAAGATTTTTTTACTTACGATTTTACTTACTTTTTTGGACAACCCAATTTAAAAAACCTTCTTCTTAAAAAATTACAATAAAACAATTGAACTATTTCATTTTATTTATTTATTATTCAAAATATGTAAAGTACACATAGAAAACTGTTTGACAATAAAAAATAAATATCTTAAAATAAGATTTGAAATAATAGCTAGATAAAATAAAAAATACTACAAACTTACAAAAATACTCATTGAGTTTGTACATTCAAATTATTCTCAAGAATATTAATAAACAAATACGAACACATATGTATATAACTAAGTAAATATAATAACAATCTTCATTTCTTATTATTATCAGAAAAATAAAATGATTCATTTTGAGATTATTCCGCACGGCATCTCAATTCAGGCTAGCTGGCACACACAAAAATATATTAATGACTTGTCGTCTACAGTGAGTAAACTCTCTAATTTATTAATTACATTCACTTCATTTAACAAATACTTAGTGATGTACTAATTTCTGTAAGCGAGGTTGGTTGGAAAAGGAAAACAATAAGAAGTGAAATTTTCCTCTTCATTAGTACATGTTTTGCAGTTATTATTGTTATTAAATTTGTAAATCGTATTATTAAGTATAATTATAGTAAATGTTTTACTTAATAGTTGTTAAAAAATGAAACGGATTTTATATTATATTTTAAATATTGCTGAGTGAAGCCAAAAGTGCAAATACATCTGGAATTAAAGTTGAATGAAGAATTTAATATAAATTGAATTTATTTACTAAGTAAATGATTATTCATACATTCAACTAAGCTGTTGTACGACTGCTCGATAACATAAGACTTTTGTTATACAAACATCGACAGCGCCTATCATGTACAATAACCCTCTGAGTTCTGTCGCCCTCTTAAATGGTATACGATGGTCATCTACTAATTTTTTAAACATATTTTAGGAATGAAAAAATTAGGCATACCTAGTAATTTTAGCCATTGCCCCAACATAATTTCAAAGATTTTCGCTTTGCAGTGTGCAATGCCTGTTTCCATCCTAACAAATGAATCAGGACTTGCGTGATACATTCATAATTTTTTGAAGAAATTTAAGTTTCTCCGCTCTAGTATATCAGAGTATTGACACTTCCAAATTTCAACCACGTAGAAGAGTAGCGTCAGTGATCCATACAGTTTCACTTTGGAAGGTCATCGAGAAGAAGCTGTGAATAAGGCGAAAAGCACAGAGAGGTTCTACTTGTATAAGGAACTTTTCAAAGAACACCATCTGTCATACAAACCGAGCCTTTCCCAGGACCTAATATTAGAGATTCTTGTTGGCTGTTCAAACTAGGAGGAGAATTGTTATATTTGTAATTCAAACCCTGGGTTTTGAATGATCCTCAAGATGAAACTTGTCCACTTTGTAACAGCCACGCCAGGGAAGATTCATACCATTTTTTGGGAGTCTGCTCTCTTCTCTCAGAATTGCGGGTATCTTACTTGAGTAAGACAGTCATATCCAGAGTTGAAATACTGGAATGTCTTTCTAACCAAGTTACCGCTAATTTCCTTTGCTCGGCACGCCTGGAGAGTGAGATACGAGTGGCTTTCTGATATGCAATAATTGTCGTCCCTGTACATATACTTTTACTTTTACTGCTTTGTTTTTTAGTACTCTATCAGTTCTCAAAAGGTAATTTGTTCTTATTTAATTATTTTTGTTTTCTTCTTTTTTCTCATATTTCCATCTATTATGATTCATACACCTGCTGTATGTTAATTTTCTCTTCGAGTTTTTTTGTTTTAATATTTCTGTATTTGTAAGCTTTTAAGCAGTAAACTCAGCAGACGGCTATTAGCCATGCTTATTATACTTTGTATCAGTATTTCTATTTTTTTGGTATCAATTCTAAAAAAGTATTGTGTATTGTATTGAGTTACAAGAGCTTAATAATTAAAAGATGGCCCTTAAATTCCTTTTCGGTGCGTTAATACTTACTATTCGAAACATGTTATATTTTCTATTTTACCTGATTACCGATTTCTTTCTATTAACCTCCGAATTGTTTTTGTTGCAGTAATTCTCTAAAATACGTAATTTTTTTGGGCATAACTCCACGAATGAGAAAATCGCATCAGTATAAAATAAAAACAACAAATACCGTTTTTCAGTAAAAAAAATTCCTTGAGCATTACTTTTTTCCCCATTATATATATAAATATATATATTATATATATTCACTATATACAAAGAAAATAAAAGTGGACTCAAAATTTCACCTTGGAGAATGCCCTTAGTCAATGGAATTTCTTTGGAAGTTTTATCTCTCTCTGTGCCCTTAAAAGATGTCAATCACCTACTATTTTTTTACTGTTTATTTATCCAAGTAGGCTATTTTATGATATAACGGTAACTGAATCTTTCTTTTCTACATCATATTGCCTCAAGGCTTCATCAATTGTAGATAAAATAACCCAAATGACAAATACAAATAGACCGAAATAAAATAAACACATGTCAACTGGTTAGAATTCACATTATTCCAGAGTACTCGATATTCCTAGGGGTAGAAGGGGATAGCCCAGCCATTCACGCTAATAAATTACACGCGCATACCACAAATCATTCTCCAGACTTAGAGATGACTCAATATTCCTCGGAGTAATTTTGGGGTTCATGCAAATACTCCAAGGTACTAAGATCTATATACAATTAAAAATATTTATTGCCCTGAAATATTGGATCAGTAATATAACTAACTCTCCTAAAATTATATAAAACTATAAATTTTGGAATAATTATAAACAGATTTTTTAAGTAAATAAAATTTTGATTAATTGAAAAACTTTAAAAGCAACCGTTCATAAATGAAGTAAGTAACAAATGCTGATGCATGATCTGCAATTTTTTTATATATAGCATGTATAATGTTTTCCTTTGTTAATCCATGCGTGTTTGTCTGAGAATTTCCGGAAAGGTGTAAAAGCACCCGGTTCGGTTGATATTCTAATTATCTGATTGAAAAAGCGCCTGCTGTGGATCGTTGCGACTTGAGTAATTACGCATTCCTACCAAGTTCTTTGCTGGTAACTGGAACAGCCTCGTTTTGTAACTTTTATATCTTTCGCGCCAAGTTCAATCAAGGACATTAAGGCCATTGTGAATGTAAATTGGATACATAGAAAGGAGCATTGACGATAGTTCGAAGGATTTTGGATTGTAGGGAAAAATATCTAGCATATATAAAAGTGTAAAACGAAGTCTTTTTTATCTTAGTCTATCTAGCGATGTCTTTTAGGCAGTCGCCAATGCTCTATTTGCTTATTGCTAAGCGATAAGATAAAATTTAGGTACGCTCTTAACTACTTTTCGTGTAGGGGAAGGTAGGGTTTCAAAATACAATAAACCAGAGAGATATATTAAAATTTATTGTTACACTGGCCCCGTTTATTATGGTATCAAACAAACAAAAAGTCAAACAATACAAGTCAGTCACAACGCTAACTCTGGGCATGAGGTTACTCAAAAGAGGACATACCATCAAGCTTTACATCATTCAGCGTCTTCCAGGATCTTCTTTCTGCAGCTTCCTGGGAACACGATAATCAACTTTCGACTTGTCGCAATGGCTGCTGGAAGAGACCCAGACTGAGTGTCAAAGTGTGCGCTTGACTGCTCTGGATTGAGTCCTCGTTTTGGGGGTCTTGGCTCAGTGCTCAACTTGACTGTGGCTGATGTTGACTGAGTGCTCTCACTGAGTCCTTCTTGATCTGGTTTGCCGACTCAGTCCTCCAGTCCGCAGCATCCGAGACCCTCGACAGCCGACTGTAATTACAGACATCTAACTGTTAAAACATAGTATTTTTTAATGTTCATAAAATAAGGTTACCGAATAATAATTATATTAATCATTTAAATAACTAAAGTACTGTTAGAAAAGAGAACTATAAAATCAGAGAGGTAATATTGTATTTTTTTATATCTAACTTCATAAATATATGTATTAAAAGCTTTGGTTCTTTCCTCAATGTGTTTATAGGTTTTTGAAACCAAATTTGTAAAATATTTATATTCACAGCCATATATATCAAGACATGCAGGCAAAACGATCCAAAGCTGAACGAGTGCGTTGTCAAGAATGGAAGGCTTGCCATACCAAAATTCATTAACGGTAATACAAGTTCAGAATTTAAGTCAATTTAAAACGTGCACGAACAGTAGAGAAGTGATTCCTGCTGTGGTCGATGCATATGACAGATAAATGTGAATGTGTACGCAGGAGATTCAAAGTACAGAGTGCCCCGGTTAGACCCGTTGGAGATAACCGAGTTGAAAGTCCATCAAGGGTTCAAGCAGCTCGGACTTACGATGGCACTTAAGGACTGCAAAGTCACAGGGCTGAAGCACGCCCAGTTTTTGGCTGCCAGGTGCGTCTCATAACGGTTGCGATGTAGCTGGAAATAACGATTTGTTTTACAGGACGGATCTAGCGAATAAGCACATCGAGTGGGATTTCTTCCATCCGCACATAACTATCATCGGCAAATACGAAATGTCCGGACAGGTCCTCGTGTTACCAATCAGAGGAAAAGGATCATCAAATATTACCCTAAGTACGTTAAAAAATTTTTTTACTTACTTTAAATAGCTTAATTATTCATTGCTGCATCGTATGTAAAACACTAATATTTAAGAATATGGTGTGAGGATATACAGTTGAGCGGAGGAAAAATCTAAAACTCCTTGACATTACGTTTGAATGAAATAAAAATAATAAACTTAATCTGGGTAATTTTTATTCTGTTGAAATGCCTTTATTTTATGAAATGGCAAAAAAGGTTATACAAACATTTTGAAGAATAAATACAAAGTAAAATGGCCTAGACCAATTTGGATCCCAAGAGTCAATGATTTTCCGATTGATAGAAAAATAACCGATAATAGTGAAGTGACAATATTGGGAAAGAGTGGAATTTCCTTATTGAAGCCCAACAATTTAAGAATCTTCTAGCAATTTTTGGATGTAAAGAAAATGCATCAAAGGAAGCAGGAAAAATACTAAATTTTTATCAGCTTCTATTAAATATATAAATACTCAATTAATTATACACAATTTTTTCGAAATCAAAAATTTGTGACACAGGCGGGATTCGAACCCACGACTTTCGGCTAATACGCCGCTGCTCTACCACTTGAACTACCGTGACTTCGATCGCCCATGCCACAAACTTCTCATTTCGACTGCCCGATTTTATTATAATTAGCCGAAAGTCGTGGGTTCGAATCCCGCCGGTGTCTCAAATTTTTCATTTCGAAAAAATTGTGTATAATTAATTGAGTAAGCAGGAAAAACTTCAAATCGTATCCCCCTCTACATATGAAGAAACGTAAGGTTCAAAAACTCGCAAATTAGACGGACTCAGTAAGTAAACTATTTGTTCAACCTAGTTTACTTACAGAGTCCGTCTAATTTGCGAGTTTTTGAACCTTACGGTTCTTCATATGTAGAGGGGGATAGGATTTAAGGTTTTTCCTGCTTCCTTTGATGCATTTTCTTTACATCCAAAAATTGCTAGAAGATTCTTAAATTGTTGGGCTTCAATAAGGAAATTCCACTCTTTCCTAATTTTTATTATTGTCTAAGATACTCATTGATATCTATCCGTACGCCTCAGAGTATTTGGCGGGAAGTGCAGTGTCATCTGCGTTCATGTTAGAAATAAAAAATATCTAAACAGCGGTGCGAGTATTGACCCCTGCGGAACTCCATTTAACTCAGAAGTCTATGACCCCTGGCGTACTGCGACAAAGCCCTCCTTGAGGTTTGATTGTACTATCAGATAATAGGCATAGGTAAAAATAGTTTTAATTTGTGTAGTCTTTCATACTAAACTGTGCCGAAGACCTGAGATTCTTAAAAAACACTAAAGTCGCGGACAGTTTCTGCCCTGGAAGTCTAGACCGGTAATGATGATGAGTAGTGGGATGATGAGCTAGAAATTCGAACTGATGGCCTGGTAAGATGTAGGAAGTAACAATAGAGATGATTCTTTTGTGAATCAATTTCTCGACTAGTTTAGAAGGAACGGGTAACTAGCTAATATTGAGCGGTTGATGAGGGTTTTAAATTCGTATTTGGCTTGGGCTTTATTTTAATAGATAATAAATGTGTGGTGATTCGTGACCGTTAATCGATAACACAAGGTATTTCCTACTCACATGGGCATCTCAACACGACACGCAAGAATGGCACAATTACACAGAAGACAAACATTTTGAGCCCTGAAGATGATCTCAATAAAGATCGAAACGTTGGCACGATAAAGAAAACGTTTTTCTGAAACCTACATTACACCAGACCGCATCTCACGATTTCTGAATAATTATAGATAATAAAGGTAAGATAGTTTCCATTGTGGGAGATCTAGCAAGAAGAATAAATGTCGCAAGTAAATCTTTTTATTTTACTTATTTTTTTTATTTGTAGTACATTACAACTAACTAAAAATAATAATGGAGAAAATACCTATTGACAGTACTCCAATTATACTAAAATACTAGCTGATTAATATTTGTGTCAATATCACTTTCAGTATCACTTCGCAGGAGATCTCGCGGCCATTTTCTCTTCAATAGGCGACGAGAGTTCGAGGGAATTTGTCAGGATGCGAGTTTTTCGGAGGGTGATTTTCGGTGGTATGGCGGTGTTGTATAAAATTTTCGATAACGGGTGCGCATTTCATCTTAGACGAAGGAATATTTAAAAGTTGGTATGTGTAGTTTCGACGATATATAACATAGAACATCAAGGATTTTTCATAAGATTAAGGATTGGGCAATATGGATGCGGCGGATTCTGGATCCATTGGCTTCACACCATATTCCCAGTCAGTAAGCTCATATCAGCTTAAATATTTTTGAGAGGGTCAAGAAGATTTTTATTTTTGCCAAAAATGTCGTGCATTAGCCATGTAACGTGTCATAACATCTTGACGTTTTAGTCGTATGAGATTCCACGTCAGGCGTTTGTCGATGTACAGTCCGAGGTACCGCACCTTATTCCCAGTTGGAAGAGAAATATTATTTAAGTCGACTGGAAGGATCTTTTAAGGAGAGTGACGGTAATGTGGGTGGATTTGTCTGTGTTAAATTTATTCTTTTCTTTTCACGCCAATACTGTAAGGTTTCGGGTGGATATGACAGGATTGGAGTTACTAGAGAGGATCGCTGTATCGTCTGCAAATATCGTGAGTGTGGAGGTTTAAAGATGTGATGGAACTTCAGCTTTGTACACCTGGTATAGTATGGGGCCAGAACGCTACTCTGAGGAACACACCATGTATAGGGAAATACCTTAAATGACTCGGAAAACCGACCAGTGAGGTAATTGTGCAGTATGAGATAGTAGGTGGATGGAAGTTAGCCATTGAGCATGAACAGGAGGCCCGGGTGCGAAACTCAAGACCTTGGCTTATGTCAAGAAAGGTCCCGGTTCAGTACTGCACCAACTCAAGGGTTATATAATGTCTCCCATATGATGGCATCGTTGAGTGGTGGCTTGGCAGTTGCGAAAACCATATTGATTGTGGTGCGTTATATTTTGAGAATTTAGGATTGGACGAATTTTTTTTAATAGCAGCTTTTCTTCATTTTACCCAAAAAGAGTAGTAAACATTTTGGCTTTTATGGACCAGTATAATGTGTTGGGTTTTTCGTTAGGGAACCTTCATATGTAGTAATGTTCCATGCTATAGGGAAGTAGATTGTACAAAGAATAGAATTAAATAGGTATGTAAGTCAATGAAATCCAAAAGTAAATCAGCCTTATAATCAAAAGTGAAGCTTTTTTTCAGCAACTTATCAGATTTTTGTAACATCTAACAATTAAGTAATCTTTTTATGTAAGGTTTTGGTCGAAATTAAAAAGTTAGTGTCAAGAGCGGGATTCGAATCTACGACCTTCTGCTGAAAATGGCAAAAAGAGGGAAAATTCGAAATTCGAAGATCCCAGGTTAAGATGGGGAGAGGATCGAAGTGACGACACTCAAGTGGTTAAAGCAGCGACGTATTTAGCCGAAGGTCGTGGGTTCGAAGCTCGGGACACTAACTTTTTTCGACCAAAACCTTATATAAAAAGATTAATTAATTGAAAGAAGTAATTTGGTCAATAGACCACTAACTATAATGGATGTAATATCTAACTTTTTTCTGAACAGATTTTCAAATTGTTTTCGTCTTTTTTCAGAAAATCAAATGGATAGAATGAATTTGCAAATGCAAATGTAGGCTACCTAAGTATATAAGTACAACTTATGATTTTTCCTTCTCGAAGGTGAGATAATAGGTCATCTCAAATAAACAACAACCAGTTTTTCTTTCAATCCACAACGTTTCGGATTTATTTTAATCCTTCCTCAGGTGGGTTAACGCAGTGGTTAAAACAGTGGTCGTCAGTCATTAATATTTTGTAACAGTTTATTTAAAAAAAGAGCCAGTGTGGTACATATTTAAGTCTTTCCGAAGATTCGGGCTCACTAACTCACCTGAGGAAGGAATTGAAAGAAAAACTGGTTGTTGTTTCTTGGAGATGACCTATTATCCCACCTTCGAGAAGAAAAAATCATAAGTTAAATTGTTGAGGTCAAAATGTAAGAACATCGTTATGTAAGTATAAAAAGGCCAAACAAAAAATGGTAATATAATAAAACTAAAAGAAAAGAAAGTTAGAATTAACACGTCGTAATAGTCCAAAAATACCGTACTGCAAAACAGCGTTGTAGGTTTGCAGATCTACTTCCTCACAGGCGACGTACTTAATAACCAAACTGTTTTAAGGAGTGATTGAAATTGTCGTTTATTTATTGACTGAACTCACTGATTTGATCAATATTGTTCTCATTGTGGTACGACCCCATGTTATGTGTTCTTTTGATGATATTGATTGGCTTTTAAATTTTTTTTCTGTTTTTGGAAAACTGATTTGGAGAAATGATTTCTATGAAAACAAGATTGCATAAATAATTCAGACATGGTGTGTTTATGGCGATAATATTTTTTCAGCCAACATGAAAACCATGTTCAAATTCAACTTCGACTTGGTGAAAAAAGAAGACGGGAAGGAATACATGAAGGTCACCAAAACTAGCTTGGACACAGATATAGGAAAGGCTTATTTCCGATTCAACAACCTGTTCAACGGCGATCGCCTACTGGGTAAGAAATCGAAAAAAATATAACATTTCAGAAAAAAAAATTCCTTCTGGGCAGATCCCAGGTCTATTATAACTCGTAACTTTTTATTTTTATTTTAGGGGAGACGATGAACAGGTTCCTCAATGACAACTGGAGAGACGTCGTGAAGGAACTCGGGGCGCCGGTGGTCGACTCAATCTCCCAAGTCTTCGAAATCATCCTTTCCAGAATCACGGAACTAGTCCCTTTCAACGTCGTCTACCCGCCGGCTTAGAAAATCCCTAGGCAGAGTACAAAATATAAAAATCCGGCGAAAGCTCAAGTCATCAGGCAAATGAGCAGCGCCCCGACCAGCCAAAAGCGTAGGAATTAACTCAAGTAATTTTTGCAAGTCTTGGACTTAGTTAAATATAAAAGGAACTTTATAACGTTCCAAATTAGTATTTAAACAATGTATTTATTTATATTATATATGTATATTACACAACTCGAGTGGATTTTGTGTGTTTTAAGGTTATGACGTTATTAATTTTTATTTCGTTCTCAACGATAATTGTTATCAGTGTCTTAAAAAAAAAGTTATAGTTATCATAGTCAATCGAATCATTGTAAATGTAATTTAATAATAAATCTGTGCCAAATTATGTTTTTTTCGATTTACAACAAATCTTATAATCATTTCTCTTAATCACGGACAGTCTTTCTTATCATATTTTTAATTTTCATTGTTTATCTGGCCATGGAAGTGTGTCTTGAATAGTTTTGTTAGTATGCCGAAGTTTATTTTTTTCTCTTGGGACATAGAGAGGAGCAACCATTGTTCGTAGCATCTTTCAAGTTTCAGTTTTTATCTAGTGTTAACTATAGAACTACAGATTTTTTTAGCCTCTTACAGTTTCGGGGTTTATCTGACAATATAGTGAAAAACTTTCTTTCTTATCCTTGAACTTTCAGTATGTATCTAGCGATCTAAAAAATATTTTAACCAAAAAAGAACACACTAAAGTTGTATGCAGTTCAAACGCTCAAGCAGGAAAAAGTCGTGCTTAAGACGTTTCAGAGGAGTGAATGTGCATGGTATTGTACTTCAAAGAAAAATGTGCAAAATATATACAAAATAAGGATTAATTTCCGCCCATTTTAATAAAATACAACTAGCTCGTTTATTATAGTAACAAGTAAGTTCTTCTATTAACGTTCTTTAACGTAAAACGTTGAAAAATTAGGCCAGTCATACAATGGCACAGGTATGCTCGAACTAGTACCATATGCTCTATGTTTACAATTAATTATACTTTTTATGTAACGTCTTGGTTGAGATAAAAAAGTCAGCGTCACGAGCGGGATTCGAACCCACGACTTTCGGGTAAATACGCCGCTGCTCTACCACTTGGGATCCTATCGGACCCCAACTCTCCATCTCAACCTACAACCGTTCGAATTTTCCCTCCTTTTTTTTGCAATTTTTCAAATGTCGTGTAATCGGGATTCGATTCTCAGCGACTTATGAAGGGACCATTCTTTTTATGTAGCGTCCTAGTTGAGATGGTTGAACTCAAGAGCAGCGGCGTATTTAGCCGAAGGTCGTGGGTTCGAATCCCGCTCGTGACGCTGACTTTTTCATCTCAACCAAGACGTTACATAAAAGGAATAATTAATTGAAAGAAGCAACTTGGCCAATTGACCACTAAATCGTAAAATGAATCTATATTTATAGTTAAAACGTGTTCATCAACATCATGTTCGGATGAACGATATTTCTCGAAAATTCGACTAAGGATCCAAAATTTTTTAAACTTTTTAAACAGATCGTTCCCACTCACTGAATGATCCGGATTTCGAGCTTATAGCTCATCATCAGGTTGTATAACTCTTTCAACCTGATGATGAGCTATAAGCTCGAAATCCGATCGTTGAAAACAACTAACTGCCGGTGGGGACTATCTTTTTAAAAAGTCTATTAGATTTCGGCGTCCGATTGACCAAATAACTTCTTTCAGTTAATTAATCTTTATGTAATATCTTGGTTGAGATAAAAAAGTCAGTGTCACGAGCGGGATTCGAACCCACGTCCTTCGGCTAAAATCGACGCTTCTCTACCACTTGAATTATCGTGACTTCGATCCACTCGGACACCAAGTTTTTAAAATGATTGAACAACCCACTCACTCCACCGTTTATCATTTCTACCCAGATTTTTTTTCTACCGTATTGTTTTTTAATACATAAATTATATTATTGAATAGTTTCGTTCATAATATCGGAAATAGCAATAAATAACTTTATAAATTATTTTCCATGTAACCATTGAGATTATTTTTTTTCTTTTTCTTATATGCATGTCGATTTTTCCGAATGAAGTCCGAAAACAATAATTTTACTTTCAGGTTTATGTTAAATTATGTTTTTATTTAAATAGACCCGTTTTAAAGAAAAGGTTGTAACCAGAAGTAGCTCAAAATCTTTATTTTGTAATAAGGGATTTGATTTTTTATAAACTATTTTTGTTTTTAGCAGTACAAACATTAACTTGAAGGTAGTTGACGAATTAATATTCAAGGATTTCTTTGTCCATAGCATTTCTTTTGTTTCACTCGGCCTTATCAATGTGTAAATAAAAAATGAGGAAATTCAATTCATCTTCTACCTTATTGACAAATGCTAATTTGTTTAAAAGGAAACCTCACCATACTTTTAATCTTTAGTAGGATTTAAACATTTGCGTGATGATGATTCGGTTTAGGTCTTTTCATCAATAAAGATCAGGTTTACAAAATCAAAAAAACTTTGTACTGATGTTGGTTGATGAAGGTTCAAAATTGAGTGTTAGGAAATCAGAGCATAAGTGAGCTTTAAGTCATTGTAAATTTTTAAACACTAATAATTATATTTGATTAGCGATACAAACTAATAAAATATCTTAGTCTTGGATAAATTATTTCAGACGACAGTGACTTTTGTAGTTTTTATTTTATTTTTTAGTTTAGCGTTCTTGAAGATAAGGTTATTACAATACAATGGACTTAACGTGTGACTTGGGAAAGTAAGTATCAGATGGGAGATTCTTTACGTTTGAGTACTTTTTTATTTAATTCTTAATTGGAAGTTGTTTGATTAATTCTTTTTTCTATTTCGCCACCCGGTTAAAAGCCTTAAAAGACACGATCTAGGGCCGTTCGACTGGAGAGCTTTGCAGGTAATATGACCTATTTCTCCTTAAAACAGGCTCGTAATATACAAGAGTCGTTATCTTACACTGTTATATAAGGATTTTGTATAACTATTTCATAAAAAAATTCCATTTCCACCTGGGGTGAACCTGGTCGAAGATTTTTGAAAAAACATCAAACGTGTGGTGTTTTCAACGGCCAAGTTTTCCAATAAAGAAAGTTGTTTATTGACTCAGCCGTCTGCAAATTTTGAAATTAACTTCCTACATTTCACACCCGTTTTGCCAATCTTTGTACGGTTCTTCCGTGTAAAAACGAGTCTAAAAAATTCCGAAAAATTTGTTATGCTATTTTTAATCATGTCAAATATCAAGATGTTTAAAGATTTTATTGTTAGGAAATTTGTAAATTCTACCCTATAGTTAAAAAACAGACGATAAAAAATTTTAATTATGCTCTTGTGAAATTTATTTTTCTGAACTATATCTATCCTCTTGTTATTTATATACATAGATGTATGAACTATACACCAACACATATCTATCTATCTATCTATTATATTTAGTGGTCTATTGACCAAATTTCTTCTTTCAATTAATTAAACTTTTTATGTAAGGTTTTGGTCGAAATGAAAAAGCTAGTGCCACGAGCAGGAAGTCACGATATCTCAAGTGGTAGAGTAGCTGCGTATTTAGCCGAAGGTCGTGGGTTCGAATCCCGCTCATCGCCTAACTTTTTATTTCGACAAAAAAACCTTACAGAAAAAGCTCTCTACTATGCTACCTTCATTTTAAATGCATTTACTTTTTAAAAAAATTAATTCCATTTTAGCCAACAACATATTTTTTATTTTTTTTAATAATAAATAAATGTGAAACATATATAATTCAGTTTTAATTTTTTATTGCCTTCTCATAAATTGTACAATAAATTAGCTTCATTAAATTCAACGATGCGTGTAACAAGAATATCTGAAAGGTTAATAAAAAAAATCAATATTTTACTTAAATTTAATTGTATTGTTCCTATGTATCGGTATATAAAGGTCTCATTTGTTGACGAGTTGTTTAAACTGGTTTTTATTAGGATTTAATCGCTAGATTTTTCTCAATAATTCTACTTTCGGGTTGTTGTTTTTTTTTGTATTATTTGCATTGTTATAAATGCGTTTCAAAGAAAGGTCTTTCAAATGTACGAGATTAATTACAAGCGTAAAAACTTAGTTGAGCTTTCACCCAAAAAAGCATCAAAAAACCAAAGCATTTTTCCTTATGGTGCATTCAAAACTGACTCGCCTTGTAGACTTCTCCTTCGAGGGGCGCGTACATGCGTTTTGTTTGACCTTCTTCGAGACCTCAAAACGTTTACCTAGTGGGTTTTTCTTCAATTTTCCCTATCATTTTTACAGTGCTTAGCTCAATCAATAAACTAAAACTTAGGTCTGGTGTCATCAGTACATAAACTGATAGTAGGAAGTAACAATATTTCGTAATTTCCTAAAATTTGATCACATAAAATAATTTATCTATATATCTAGCTAGATGCAAGGACATCAGGCTATGAGGACAGTCTTGCTACTTATTGGATTTTTATTCTGAAGGATTGTCACTTCTCGATGTGCTGACCTAAGGTGTATTGCTCAGGGGAGTTTACCTACCCCTTTATGCGACTGGGTTGCAAGCATCTCCCTTAAACCAGATGCTCAGTGTTCCTAACCAACGGGGTTAGATTCCAGCTAGTTTATTTCAGCCCCTAAAATATAATCTAGCCTAAAACTATCTAACTTGTATAATACAATCGCACTAATAAATACATTCACACTTATGTACATTGCACTCAATTTGGTTGGTCGATGGAGTAGTCGATATTTCTCCATCTTCTACACTCAATAGGAATAAGCTAATCAAAATTAGAGTCCATGGAGTACTTTTATTTCGCCATCGACCCTAAACACAAACTGCTAGAATGGCGATGGTGACGCTATATTTCACCATCAACCCCCTCATCACTCACTCTAATACATACACGCAATCATCTCACACAGAACCACAAAACACATATAACAGATCTATAAACAAAATCTATATACAAAAAGCTGAACAAAATGCCTACACGCTCTCTGTAAGGAGCCAAGACACGACAAACTGCTTATGTGGGACGGATCGAGCTACTTATTCACGTTAATACTAGTAAGATAATCCTTTGAGATAATGAATAAATAAGTTTATTTTATAATTATGCCGCAAGTGAAATGAGTAAATCTAAATCATGAATTCTTTCGCTTTATTTATTTCTTAAAGCGTGAGATGCAATGGGTGAAAATGATAAGAAAATTGGCCTAAAGTGAAAATGCGCCCTGTTAGAAAGGGGTTGGACAAATAGCAACATGTTGCGTCCTTATGACAGATATAGCTACAGGTTTCGACCTGAACCGATCTTTTATTGCTGTAATTTTTTCAGAGCAGTTTTTAATATTAGGTTGAAAGAATTTTCTCAAATTTAATTATCTAAAGTGTAAAATATTGTTTATGATGTCTCAGTGCAGCAGTGATAAATTGTAAAAATTTAAATGAAGCTGATATAAAGAAGGATGTCATACTGGAGCTCAATCACTCAATAATGACTTTTATGGGAATATTTTTTATTTTCCTCCGTTGATTAGCTGGACCATGAAATTACCTTTTATTGGCCGAAAGTTCATGAAGGAAATACGGTTCAGGTTCAAATTTTGGGATTTGAAGAGAGGAGTGTGTCAGATAATTGTGTCCTTCGCCGTTTTCCTCCTAGTTGAAGATTTTTCCAGCAGGTTCTTGCGGTCTGGCCGTTCACTTTATGAAGGATTGTATGTTCTTCGAGTAGGGTTTAATTGCCTTGGGCCGGCAGGATTGGGGGAGACCTTGCCGCTCTTTGGCAATACCCTCTTGGCAGGATTCTGTCGTTCGGTTCGACGCGAGATCTCAGACGGTCAACATGCATCCTTCGGTATTGCTGCTCCTGCTGCTGGCCTCCCTGGGCCCATGTTCATCCCTCAAGTTGCGTGAGTAGATTTGCCGTTTTTGTTTCACAGCCGGCTGCAAACAACCATTGGTCAATCGGTTATGCAATTCGATTTGTAAATCCGCAGGTTTTTCATAAAATTTTCTTTCTGATGTTTCTCTTAGAAGAAACTAATATTATGGGAAGAAGTTAAAAAGTCAAATTACGATATAAGGTAGTTATGATATAAGGGAAATGAAAATATCTTCGGAAAATTTTTGTGTCCTACCAAATTTTATTACCCAGCTTGTCGAAGTAATTTCACAAAATTTGACTTTCACACTTCATTTATTGTTGTACATGGAAAACATCAAAAAACTGACTAAACTTAATAAACAAACTGTACCAATTCTATCAAAGCATAACAGATGCTTTTTGCCATTGTAGAATTTTACAATTTTACCAAAGTAAATACAGCACAACTTCAAAAATTAAACTACAACAACATATACGACAAAATATACCTATTTGTGGAAAGAAAAATGCCGAAAATGCTGACTCAAAAAATGGAACCACATTCATTTTGATGTTAGTGTTAAAAATTAAAATTAATGAAGATTTTGTTTATTTTTAGCATTCACAAAATTAAAACTGAATTCATTCTGTCTGTTATGACAACATTAGCATGAATACGGAAAAATAATTAATTCTCAAAATCAATCATTAAATATTTTTTCGTCTGACGGAGTAGTTTTCAAATTTGTGTCTGATTTTCTCATTTCTTCTGTTTGAATACATCGCCTTGGAATTTTATGTGAAAATTATTGAAAAAGTACTGTCGACTGGTTTGACTAGCCCGCGAAACCTAAAATAATCAAAATATTAGAACTATAGAGGGTAAAAAATAAATCCTCTGATGGCAGTTAAGAGCTAAAAATGGAAGTCCTCAGGCTGAACGAAGCCTCTTGCCAGGTATAATTATTGATGGTAATGGGCTTTCATAATACCATGATTTTTTCTCACATAATTGATCACAATCTCAGTCGCACAAGGTCGTTAATTGGACAATTATCAAAAAATAGTTCGGCTGTTGCAACATTCTTTTTTTTTTCTATGCTGCAAACATTTGACCAATTTAAATGGAAGAACTAGACTGAGTAGAATCGAGGCTAGATAATAGGCTAAAATATTTCAAAGATATAGCATTATTTACATTTGATACTTAACAGGCTATTCAAATTTTAAAAGGAAAATAGAAAAAATCAGGTGATAACAACAGGATGATTGCAATTAACAACAGGACAGGCAGATCTCATAAAAATACGGTTGGAGTACCGCAGGTGATATACCAATGGTATTTATTGAAACAGCCGTACAAAGAATGTAAAGTAATACGTTCATGCCATAAAACCAAAAAAAATGCCAAGAATTCTTACATAAAAATGCAATCTTCCTCTCCGAAAACAAAAATGAAGATCAACGATCTAGCTAAAGATCTAAGGGCTGCCAGTATTTTAAAATTTAATTGAATAAAATACGAAAATTTAATTTTTCATTTTTTAAAACCTCACGTTAAACAAGAACAATCAATTACACGATAAATTGAAATTATTGAGCTCTGAAGGAAAACTGCCTTATCTCCATATTTGGTAGTATTTTTTTAAATCATAGTATATAGCATAATATGTAACACAATCGTTGTAATTGTGTAATCAAAAATTTCGTAATTATGTACGTAAACACCTTCCATTGAATATATTAGAGTATTCGGATTTAAGTCTAATTGATTAAATATTGGTTTACCCAACCCAACCCTGACAACACATACATATAAAAATATATATAATATTTTATATACATAAAAATATTATATATTGAAAAAGGAAGTTTAGTTCCAAAGGTAATTTTTTACGCAAACTCTGCTGGTTGGTAGAATGTTGGTACAATAGAAGTTCGCGCGATAAGTCGACCTGGTGAACTTTTGTTTCAAATTTTATGCCCTATTTTTTTCACACATTTTGAGAGTCTTTTCCATTTAAAACCCAAAGATACCAAAAATTCAAAAATGCGTCGGTTTAGAAATATAGTAGTTTTTTTCTTTCATAGCTCAATAATTTCATTTTATCGTGTAACTGAATGTTGTTGTTTAACGTTAGGTTTTAAAAATATCAATTTTTTAAATAGTTATACGACAAATATAAATTATCGTGTTTTAAAGGAAAACTCCAAAATCCCCAGCAAAAATCGATGAATTTTTGAGGATGATTTTTTTACGGGCAATTTGAAAGTCCTTTCCATTTAAAAAAATATACCAGAAATTTAAAAATTAATCTATTCTGTTTTGGAGAGATTGGAGTTTCCTTCATAACTCGATTTGTGTAACCGATTGTTCTTCTTTAAAGTTAGGTTTTAAAACATCATCACAAATAAATTTTCAGCTTTTTTAACGGACTTAAACATAGATTGAAATTATTGAGTTCCGGAAATTCAATATCATCAGAAAAACTCTGTTATTACTTTTTTTTTAAAAAAGGAAAGAAATTGTTTTAAATGTGCAAATAAAATAGAGAATTAAATTTGGAAAAAGTGATCACAAGTTCGGTTTAACGCGCCTAATTAAAAATCTAATATCACCAGCAGATTCTGTGTGAAAAACTACTTTTGGAACCATACTTAGTTATACAATACAATATTCAGCATAAAAACGTAAATCAGTAAACATAAAAACGTCTTTTAAACAAACTCACAAGATATGTATAGTACAACATACATAACATAAAAAGCTGTACTTATTAATCACTTAAGTTCACTTCTACATTGTCATTAATTAAATATTTCATACCTAAATGAGCACTGTTAATTGGAAGTTGTTATCGTTAAAATTGTAATTAGATCATTACCGATTATGCTGGTCCGCTCATGTTCGCTGATTTGGTCTGAAAAACGTTTGGGCCTTCAACCAAACAGTAAAAATGGAGAGATAATCACCAAAATAATTGCTAATAATGATGTTTTTCTCGTAAACGAAAAATGGGGAAAAAATCTGTTCTCATGGTCTTGAACAATTTATAACATCCCAGCCAAATGTCTTGTTATTATGAAAACAAGCTCATTATGATAGAAAAAAAATGTAATTTTTATAAATAAAATAGTAAAGAAGGTGGTATAATTTCAAAATTTAACCTTTTTTTTCGGTTGGCAGCTTGCACAATTTCAGAAGTAAATTGAATTTTTACGATTGATTTTAGGAGTACGTAAAAATCAAAGAATGATTGCACTCTGATTTTTTGTTATATAGATAACATACAGGTATTGGTAGGCTTAAGAATCTAGAATTGATAGAATTTCATTTTTTTTAAATATGCATGTAGCATTAAATGTTTATTCAATTGTATTTGCGACTTTATCTTTCAGTGTAAACAGAAACAATTAGCAAAAGCAAGCAGCAAATCTTTTTCAAGGGCGTGAATTCCTGCCTTTTCTGTTTTCTTCCTGAAATTCCCACAGGTCGCTAATGGAAAAGAGACACTAGCCTCTCAACACCGATCAACTATTTTAAGATGTCGTCCTCCAACAGGATTCTCCCTCATGAATTTGGTCAATACAGCTCGAGTATAAGATAATCGAGTTGTAAGAAATTTTACATCGACATCCGTCAACATCTGTCTAAACGCTTTTCTTTATAAACAAATGAAAATATTGATAGCATTTTAAATGCTTATGATATTCATTGTTTTTATAAAGGCCTATTTACAAAGCATACATCATTTAAAAAGTGCGTTTTTCACGCATTCATCATTTACAAAAAAACCTACACACCTAAATTATTATAATGAAATAATTGAAAAATATCCTTATCCAAACATTTCTCATTTTTTTCTGAATACTAACTTGCATGATTAAATTATTACTTTGAATGAAATGTAAATTTATTGAATAGAATTTGAAAAAAAAACTTTCAACCCTCCTTTGAAAACTTATTCTTATCTCATTGTATTTTTTATACCATTTTAATTTTATTGCATTTTAGTCGTTCGAAAAAAAAAATAGATGTCAGACAATGTCGTCAAGACATCTTCCTTATAAAAGGACATGTCCTTGCTTGTCATCCTTGAATATATTTAAACTTCACGGTCAAAGCTAATATGTAACCCCAGTAATGAACATTTTATTAAAATTAGATATTGAGGATTTTTTTAAATAATAACAGAATTTTCGACGTTGGTACCAAGATCTGTGAAATAATTTGGTTTACTTCAAACGATATGCTTTCAATGTATCAGTCACTTAGAAAGGGTGTCCCGTGAATAAAGGAAATAAATACTTCAGTTTATTCTACATGTCAAATGGGATTTTAATGTCCCTATTGTCTATAGTCTGATTCTAAATTCTATTCGAGATATTTCACTTTTCTTGTTATTTCAACATTTCACGATTTTTCCCAATAAAACCCTCGTATCTCATAAAATATCAATCTTACTGTAAATTTTGTTTATATCAATGGAAAGAGTATTAAAAATCCTAAAGAATCATGGGTTTGTTTTATGGTAACTTTAAACAAAGAAAGTGCAAAATTAGGTAGAACATAAATTTTTACGATATTACAAAGTTTTTGTCTAAATTTTAATTAGGACTTTCTTAGCTCAGTAAATACTAACAGATATGATGCGTACAGAACTTTTTTTTTGTGTTTGTTAAATACATATTGTACAATTTCTCAAAGGTCAGTTATCACCATTGTTAAATTAACGTTTAATTACAAAAAATGATTTTTCGGTTACAAACCATATAGAAAATGTCAGATAAAGAGGTTGAAACTCTATTAAAACATAGTAAAAGTAAACAAATTGAAAATTGAACACAAGAAAACAACAACGAACTTCAATTAATCCATATATGTATTTAGTAGTCATAATTGACCGTATTAATTATTTAACTTAATTATACTTTTTATCTAAGGTATTGGTTGACGTGAAAAGACACTTGAGCTATATTTATAGCTGTAGAGGTTAGAGAAGCAAGGTATTGAGCCGAAGGTCGTAGGTTCGAATCCTGCTCGTG